TCAGATGAGAAGCCAGAATCCTCACCTTAGTGTGCCTGGTCTACTCTCCTCCTTTCCTCACCTCATTTCCTGTTATTTCCCCCTCTTTTACCCCCTCCACACAAGCCAGCTTGCTGACCTCTGAACCCACCAACGATGTTGCCATGGTGATCTGCACTTGTGATTTCCTCCAGCTCTGGTGTGCTCCATGGCTTGCTGCCTCACTTATTTCTGCTCCAATACTACTACTTCCTCAGAACTGTCCTCTCTAACCAGGCTACTTAAAATACCATGACTCCTTGCCCCTTTCCTGCTTTGTTCTTCTGCACAGAGCCTGGCGGTACTGCTTGACATTCTTTTTATTTTTATTTAAATAAAAATATTTAAATGTCAGTTTCTCCTACTAAAACCGAACTCCCTGGGAGCCGGGCTTCATCTGTTTTGTTCATTGCTGAATTCTCGGTGCCTAGAACTGGCTCGGGAACTGAAGGCTTTACCTTCTCAACGGCAGCATTCTTTTAAGGAGAAAGGAGAATGATGGGAGACTGTAAGGAGAAGGAAAGATCTAACATTTATTGAGTGCCTATGGTGCACAGTAGTAAAAAAGCAATTAAGGACCTTATGTGCACAGTTTTCGCTTACTTTCCCCAACGATCTTGAAAAGCAGATATTATCTTCATGTTGTAAATAGGGAAACTGAGGCTCAGACCCACAATGACTGGAGCCCCTAGGAGTAGAGAGGACTCTAATTTCTCATTTGTTTAATCATGCATTCAACAAACATTGACTGACTCTCTGATCCTAATGGTGGACGCTGGACAACACGGGACCTCCAAGACAAGAGTTGCCCCTGCCTTCAGGAGGCTGGAGAGTTGAGCTGAATCATAATTATGAATTATAGTGAATGAATCACAGGAGCACTTTAATAGCCCTAGTGTTTAATACGGTTCCGACCAGCTTTCTCTCTGGCGTTGGGACGATCCAGTGCAAAGAAAGTTTGGGGGAGCGCAGAGCGCGCGGTGCAGTGGGGGCCGAGGAGGGGCAAGGGGGAGGCGCTTGCAAGTCTCCGCTGCAGCGCTACCGTAGACCTCTAGAGGGCGCAGCGTCATCCGTGGCTCAGCTTGGAGAGAGGAAGCGCTGAAGCATGTTGTGCGCAGGCGCAGAATGGGTTTTGGCCGCTCTCCGTAGCGCCCAGGCTCCTTAGCTTGCGGCGGGGTGGGGCCTGGCCGTGAGGGTGGCGTGCGCAGGCGCAGAACCGGCTTCGTGCGCGTGAGGGGCGCTGGGGACCGGAAGTTGGAGCGATCCCGGCGGTTAGTGAGGTGAGGGGGCGGGGCGGGGCGGCTGAGGGGGGCAGTGGCGGCGGGGACGGCGGGTGTCGGACCGGGTTTGGTAGCTGGGAGCGGGCCCAGGAATGAGGAGGAAAGTTCCACCATGAGGACGTGAGTTGGAGGAGACAAGGGGCTCGGGAAACGCGGATGGAGATTGAGCCTGAGCGCCCCGGGAATACCAGGGCGACAGAGGCTGTACCTCCTTCCCTGTTGGCACCTGTAATTGATGATTCTTTCCTGCTGGTAGTTCTTTTGGAGCCTCTAATTGACAGTTCCAGTACTGACCTCAGGTGCTGCCCTCCTAGAGCTCTCATCCTTCCAGCCTCCTAGCTCCATCTTAGTGAGATTTCTCTTTGTTAATGGAGACTGACAGATGCAGAGAGACGGAGGCAGTGGAATAGGGAGAACCTGGCAAAAGCTGATGGGGGGACTGAGGAAGGGGAAGAGCCCCCGAAGGAAAGAGACTTGGAGAGGAAGCCGGATGTGGGAAGTGAGTGAGATGGATGGGAGCTGGGTGATTTGGGCAGACCGATGAAGAGAGCCGTCCGGAGTGTGGAGACATGGGGCTCAAGGGAGAGCGAGTGCATTTGGTAAGCTTGGAGAGCAAAGAGAACTGAAAAGACAGTGTCAAGTTTAAAAATGGGGAGATAAAGCCAGACCATGGAGACTCACGCTAAGATGAAGAGGAATAAATGGGAGCCTGATTCCCTAGATTTGAAATCCTTGTCACACTGTGTACTTAACCTGTCGTTGGCTCAACGACAAGGAGTGATAATAGCACCTTTTTTTTTTTTTAAAGATTTAGAGAAGGGGGGGGAAGAGCAGAGGGAGAGGGAGAGAGAGCCTCCAGTAACGTGGAGCTTGATTTCACGACCCTCAGATCATGACCTTAATTGAAACCAAGAGACACTTAACTGGCTGTACCACCCAGGTGCCCCAGAGAGGAGCACCTTTTTATTTTTTTTTTTTTTTTTGCCGTCTTTTTCTTTTTTAAGATTTTATTTATTTGACACAGAAAGATCACAAGTAGGCGGGGGGTGGGAAGCGGGCTCCCTGCTGAGCAGAGAGCCTGATGTGGGGCTCGATCCCAGGACCCTGAGATGACCTGAGCCGAAGGCAGAGGCTTAACCCACTGAGCCACCCAGGCGCCCCGAGAGTAGCACCTTCTTAACACGAGAAAAGTGTAGATGTGTGTATGTATGTAGTTGTGCACACAGATATACGTGCATGATGTAGAATAGTACCTGATCCGTGGGGAGCACTGTTAGCTTTAAAGCAGCAGAACTGGGAGACAAAATGTTAGGTGGAGAGATGGAGGTAAATGGTCACAGTGGTGGGAGAGGCGGTAACAGAGACTGGGAATTGGAGAGAGACAAAAATGGAGCGTCCGAAAAAAACAACTGAATGAGCAAATGAGGAAGTCAGATGGAGCACCGACGAGGAGTGGAGAGGGTCAGGTGGAGAAGGCTTGTTGGAGAGACCATCAGACCTGAAGATAAGAGAAACGAGGAGAGACAGGATCAGACTATCAAAGGAAAGAGGGCTGGGCACGGTGAGCTGAAAAAGACAGGCTGAGACTTGAGGATGGACAGCCAGAGTGGGAGAGAGCTCGGGAAGCAAAGAAAACCTCTGCAGGCCACTGCCACGAGACCCAGAGATGGTCAAAGACACTGTGACAGAGAACCAAGGGGACCCAGGAAATCGACATGGTTGCCTACGAGAAGAGACTCTTTTGAGACCCATGGTACTTGCCCAGTTGGGCCCACGTGCTCCTAGGCAGCTTGCAGCTGGGAGGAATGCTCTTCATTTCATTCCCGATCCTTTTCTCGGGATCCCAGGCTCAGTATCAACAACCACCTGCTGCCTCCCCTGCAACAGGAGTTCCCTATGAAGCCACTCTAGCGTCATCCAGCCCAGGTGTTTGCTGGAAAATGACGCCGAGAGACTGAAGGGAAAGTAGGTGAAATCATTGCTCTCAAAGGTGAATTGTGGCCTTTTTTGTTTTTAAGATTTATTCTAGAGAGAGGATTTCAAGCAGACACCCCGCTGATCATAGAGCCGGGTGTGGGGCTTGATCCCATGACCCTGAGATCATGACCTGAGCCAAAATCAAGAGTCGGTCGCTTAAACCAAATGAGCCCCCCCAGGAGCCCCAAATGGTGGCCTTTTGAGTGTAATTTTCCAGGCTTTATGCTTTGGTTTCTCTCACTGATTTCCGCATGTTAGTCATCACCGGGAGGAAGAGTGGACTTGAATTCTGGTTACTGTTTAGCTCCTCTGTGCCAGGCTAGGTGCTAAGCATTGCAGTGTTTGGAAGGAGATATTATCCCCATTTTAAATTTGCAGGTGGCCAGGGGCGCCTGGGTGGCTCAGTGGGTTAAGCCTCTGCCTTTAGCTCAGGTCATGATCCTAGGGTCCTGGGATCGAGCCCCGCATCGGGCTCTCTGCTCAGCAGGGAGCCTGCCTCCTCCTCTCTCTCTGTCTGCCTCTCTGCCTACTTGTGATCTCTGTCTGTCAAATAAATAAAATCTTAAAAAATTTGCAGGTGGCCACACATCTAACAAATGATGAAGATTCAGAGGTTCAGAGATTGAAACCCAGATCTCCCTGACTCCAAGACCTATACGAAGGAAGGCTCTGAATCCTCTTAAGGTCATAAACTTTAAGAATCCTTGAGTGAGGCGCTTCACTCCAGAAAATTGTACCTACGAGGATATGCTCTTGTATGATTCGTTCGGACTTAGGCAGCTGAGAGAAAACCAACTTTGCCCAAGAAGATATTTTCTTGTGTCGCTGGGACATGAGGGTCGGAGTGGACCAAGCCAAGCTTCTTCCCTCTCTCTTCCACTTCTCCTAGTTGCTCAGTGGTTGTCCTGGCACGTCCTGCCCTGTGTCCAAGAGCAGGCTTTTCTCTAGGATGGATTTCTAGGGAAGACTCAGGTTCATGAGCTACTACGGACAGCTCCAGGTTTATACGTCAGCCCTGTGACCACAGCAGAAACGATAAGGGCTTTTCTGTCCTGACAACCTAGTGGAAATTCCAGAGAAAGGCCATGATTGGTCCCCTGTGGGTCATGTGTCCCCTTCTCGCACCAATCACTGGTTGAAGGAGGAGGATTTGGGGAGCATGAATCAGCCAGGCCTTTGTCACTTGCCCAATCCGGTTTCCTGACTTCAAGACCGGCAGAGCTGGGTGGAATCCAGGAAGGGCTGCTGTTCACAGGGCAGGGGAGCCAGTGGGTCCTGTTACCAGAAAAGGAAGGGATGTGCCAGGCAAGCAAAGACAGAGGATAATCTGACACTTGCAAAATTGTGCACTCGATTTCAAAGCGTTCCTAGGCGTCCTGAAGCTCAGAGACCCCAGAAACCCTTGCCTTACTCTTTTCTTTGTACCGCACCCCTCTTGTGTTACTGTCTCATGGCAAGGTTCTGCTGTTGATTGTCCCCGTGACCCGCCCTCCTTCAGGTTTCAGGTCAAACATCTCTGAGCATCTTTTTCTAGATTACCAAGCATGGTCAGGCAGCTTCTGTGGGCTCCCATGGTCCCATCACAGGATTGTCTGTCTCTTGCCTATGACCATGACCACATATGAAGGCTCAGGGTGGCATAGTCCAGTGCCTACAAAACAGCAGGCTTTCAGGAAATGTTTCTAAAAACGAATAAGTATCTTCTTTTCTCTCCTCCAGGCTTTCCGGGCCTGAAAACCCAGGATGGACTGGTGTCTGTCCCAGAGATCACTGCAGGAGTCGTGAGGGGCCCTGGGTGTCACCAGTTTGAACCAGTCCCTGGGCACCTTCTCTGTCATTGCCCGTGGTCATCCTGGACCATCGACGAGGAGGGAGATTGTCTCTTTGAAGAGGGAGTGGTTCTCCCCCTCGACTTTAGGACAGAGCTGTGATAACCACAGCATGCCGCCTCCCAGAACGAAGGAGGGCGGGGATCCCAGCAAGGAGGAGGCCCTCGAGAAATGGGACTGGAATTGTCCAGAGACACGACGCATTTTCGAGGATGCCTTTTTCCGTGACGAGGATCATATACTCCAGGGTTCGGAGGAGTGCCAGAAGTTCTGGGCCTTCTTCGAACGCTTGCGGAGATTCCAGAATCTCAAGGCCACCAGTAAGGGGGAGAAGGCCCCCGCGCGTCCCCAGCACAGCATCCCAGCCCTGGCTGACCTACCTCGCACTTACGACCCACGCTACCGCATCAACCTCTCGATCCTGGGCCCCGACACCCGGGACTCCCGGGGGCTGGCCAGGCAGCCCCCGGAGAGAGTGGCCGAGTTCCGCCGAGCCCTGCTGCACTACCTGGACTTCGGCCAGAAGCAGGCGTTCGGCAGGTTGGCCAAACTGCAGCGGGAGCGGGCGGCGCTTCCCATCGCCCAGTACGGGAACCGCGTCCTGCAGACGCTGAAGGAGCACCAGGTGGTGGTCGTGGCCGGGGACACGGGCTGTGGCAAGTCCACCCAGGTGCCCCAGTACCTGCTGGCCGCCGGCTTCAGTCACGTGGCATGTACCCAGCCACGGCGGATCGCCTGCATCTCCCTGGCCAAGCGAGTCAGCTTCGAGAGCCTCAGTCAGTACGGCTCGCAGGTGAGTGGGCCGCGCCGGCTTTCTGGGTTTAGGGCACTAGCATTACCCATAACCCTTTCTTAAAGTTTTATTTTTGAGAGCGTGAGCGTGGGGAGCAGGAGAGAAAGAGACTCTCAAACAGGCTGTACGTAGAGACCGACGTGGGGCGTGATCCTGAGGTCACAACCTGAGCCGAAATCCAGAATCAGATACTTAACCGACTGAGCCACCCAGGCGCCCCCCCCACCCCCCATGTAACTTTTTTTTTTTTTAAAGATTTTATTTATTTATTTGAGAGAGAGAGATCACGAGTAGGCAGAGAGGCAGGCAGGGCATGGGGGGAAGCAGGCTCCCCACTGAGCAGAGAGCCTGATACGGAACTTGATCCCAGGACCCTGAGATCATGACCTGAGCCGAAGGCAGAGGCTTAACCCCCTGAGCCACCCAGGTGCCCCCCATGTAACATTTTTAACAGCAAAACATTGGAAATGTCCCAGGGATCATTTGGTTTTTAGCAGCCGTAAGAAAGAGAGTGAGGACACTTCTTTACTAATGGTTTCGAGGGTTCTAATCCAGGCTCTACCACTTACAAATCGTTATTAAAATTCTAATACCCTAAACGGAAGAATGTGCTTATCTTATGTAGCTCAGTGAATTTTCACAAATTGAGTTCATTTATGTAAACACCCCAGAAACCCTCTGTCTCCCCGCCCCCCGCCCCAGTTACTGCCCTGAGCCCCCAAGAGTTGTCACTGTTCTGAGTGATACATTATCGTCTTAGGTGATGATAACTGAGTTAAAGAGGAAATCCCACAGACCAACTTTGCCTCTTTTATTTACTTTTTATAAGTGGAATCAAAAAGCGTGTTCTCTTTGGTGCCCGGCCTCTGTCGCTCGGTACTAGTCTTGTGAGTCATGTCTGCGGTAGAGCGTGTGGGTGCACAGTGCTCTCTCGCGGCTGTTCAGTGTCCCCTGTGAAGACACCACGACACCACAAGGTATCTGTCCCTTCCGCTATTGACCGGAGCTCGGGGCATTTCCAGTTTGCGCCTCTTGTGTGCGGGTGCTGCGGTCAGCATTCTAGAACATGCCATTAGGTGTCTGTCGGTACATATTTCCATCGGGGATGTAGCTAGGAGGGTGCCTGCCCGCTCGTCAGATCTGCAGGGACGTCTGGCTTCAGCAGATGCTGCCAAAATGCTTTGCGAAGGGGCCGCACCCGTCCACACTCCCAACTGGCCCTGTCACAGTTACTCTTTCCTGTTGTGGCTTTTCTGGGTGGGTGGGTCGCAGTAGCACGTTTTCATTTGCCTTAGTCTGACAACTGAGGGTTGAACGCGTTTGTTGGCCAACTGGAAATCCTCTTAAGTGTCTGTTCAGGTTTTTTTCCCTGTTTGTCTTCTGTGTTGTCTTTTTGTTCTTGACGTTTGGGGTTTTAAAGATGAGTGAAATAGATCCTTTGTAGGGTTTCTGTATGGCAGATCTTGTCTCCTACTCTGTGAGCTGTCTTCCATTTTCTGAAGGCTTCTTTTGATGACGGCGTTTCTTTATTTAAGCGTGGTCCAGTCTGTCGTTTTTCTTTCTGTGGTTGGCACTCCGGGTTCTGTTTAAGGAGTATCTCCCTACCTTGACATAAATGCATCCTGTGTTTTTTTCCTAAAGATATTTACCTTTAAAATTATAATTTGTCGGGGCGCCTGGGTGGCTCAGTGGGTTAAAGCCTCTGCCTTCAGCTCAGGTCATGATCCCAGGGTCCTGGGATCGAGCCCCTTCCTCTCTCTCTGCCTGCCTCTCTGCTTACCTGTGATCTCTGTCTGTCAAATAAATAAATAAAATCTTTACAAAAAAAAATTATAATTTGTCAGGAATTGATGTGTGTGTGATGTGAGGTAGGGGTTAAGATCATTTCCTCACAGGGTGCCTGGGTAGCGCTGCAGCTGGTCAAATGTCTGACTCTTCTTGGTTTCGGCTCAGGTCACGATCTCAGGGTTGTGGGATCGAACCCCATCTGGGGCTGCTTGGGATTCTCTCTCTTCTTCTCCCTCTGCCCCTCCCCACTGTGCTTTCTCTCTCTCTCAAATCAATAAAATTTTTAAAAAAGAGATCATTTCCTCCCAACCACTTTCGAACTGTGTTTTGCCTTGGATGAGGGACCTCGGCTTCCCCATCGGTGAGGTGAGAGTAGTGGTTCTTCTCACGGTGGCTGTGAGGATGAAATGAGTGGGTGGCGCCCATTTCAGTGGTTAGAGTAGCGACTCAAAGAGAGGTGAACTATCTCCATGATCATTAATTAGCATAGACACCGGGCTCTGTGCCAGACACTTTATGTGCATGAACACGTCCCATTCTCCCAGCATTTAATATTTTATTTATTTATTTAACAGTGAGAGAAAGAGACAGAGAGATCACAAGTGGGCAGAGAGGCAGGCAGAGAGGGAGGGGGAAGCAGGCTCCCCGCTGAGCAGAGAGCCCGATGCGGGGCTCGATCCCAGGACCATGGAATCATGACCTGAGCTGAAGGTAGAGGCTTTATCCCACTGAGCCACCCAGGCGCCCCTTCTCCCAGCATTTAGGGGTGAAAATGTCTCTGGGGTACGGAAGTGCTCGCCCAGGGTCAGCGGCACTAAGCGGCAGAGGTGGGGTCCACACCTGTTGGACTCCCGAGTCTGAGGGGGCCGGGGAGCGGGGGCGATTGCTGGAATGTTCAGTGTGGGCGGGTGAGGGCTGGCGCTGAGGTCCAGGCGCCTCCCCTGACCCCCCACCCCCTCCCCGACTCAGGTTGGCTACCAGATCCGCTTTGAGAGCACGCGGACGGCAGCCACCAAGATCGTGTTCCTGACAGTGGGGCTGCTCCTGCGGCAGATCCAGCGGGAGCCCAGCCTGCCGCGGTACCAGGCCCTCATAGTGGATGAAGTCCACGAACGGCACCTCCACAACGACTTCCTCCTGGGTGTCCTCCGGCGCCTGCTGCCCCAGCGGCCGGACCTCAAGGTCATCCTCATGTCAGCCACCATCAACATCTCGCTCTTCTCCAGCTACTTCGGCAGCGCCCCGGTGGTGCAGGTGCCCGGGAGGCTGTTCCCCATCACGGTCAGTGCTGCCCCCACGTCCCCCAGTCCTCCCACCCACTCTCTGGCCAGCCCAGACCTATCCCTTCCCTCCGGCTCAGATTCCCATCTTTCCGTGAAGGGCGATCTCGCTCGCGCGCGCTCTTTTAAAGCTGCTGTTCCTGAGTGTGCGCTGTGCCGGGCGGGTGCTCAGTGTCTCCGGCGGAGGAGACCCAGCCTTGGGAAGCTGCGAGTTTATATTCCTCTTACGTAACAGTCCTGCTGGTCCAGGCCGGTGCGCAGCTCTGTTGTATGTGGTCCTTCAGGGACCCGGGCTCTTCTCTTCTCCCGTCTCACGGGGTGGGGCTGCTCAGTCTCCACACTCTTGACCTTTTGGATAATTCTTCTTCTGTGGGGGCTGCCCTGCCTGTTGTAGGCGGTTCAGCAGCCTCCCTGGCTTCTCCTCACCAGCTGCCAGCAGCGTTCTCCTTCCCCAGGAGTGACGGCCCAGGATGTCTCCTGATGTTACCAAATGCCCCTGGGGGTGCCCCCCACCCCGGCCCAGCACCGCTGTCCTAGGGAGCCGACCAGGTCTGTCAGGTCAAAGCTTTCAGGAAGAGGGAGAGAGCCCCAGTCCAGCGAAAGGCCCGTTTGTCTTTAAGTTGGACATGACCTTGCAGCTGTCTCATTCTCTCTGCACCCCACCCCGCTGCGAGGTGAGGGGGCCAGAAGGTTCTTTCTCTTGCTAGGGGGTGGCGTGCCCAGGAAGTAAGGGGCTGAGTCTCTGGGGCCGCTGTGGGTCTCCCACTCCACTCGATACACTGTGCCCCCCCACAACCTCACCCTGTCCCCACAGCGGGCCTGCCCAGGCCTGACTCCACACACGTCCTTGACCTCCCTTCCCAGGTCTTCAGGTTCTCTGGAAACTTTTGCCCTGAACTTTAACCCCTTCGCTCGGGCCTCTTTGCTGGGGCTAGCTTGGTGGTCTTGTCAGAAAGCAGAGTGAAAGCTCATGGGGGCCCCACCACAGCCGTGGGCGCCCTGTGCCAGGGATTTTCGCCCCTGGGGGTAAGACGGAGGCTGGGAGGCGCAGAGCAGCAGAGTGGGGCCTGGAATCCTGCTCGCAGACACCGCCTGGGCCCGGCAGCCTCTCTCTGCTCTTTTGGATCCCCTTTTGCACCCCCACCCCCGTATGTGTCCACCCTCCCACCCTGGGTGGCACTCGTGGACCCCTCCCATGTGGCTTCCCAGTGGCCCTCCATGCCGGTCTGCCCCCGCTCTCAGCTCTGTGTTTTGAAAGCCGCTCCTTCCTCTTGCAGCGGGAGTTGGTAGAAGCCCCGGAGTTCCCAGCACCAGGAACCGCACCAGTCGGTCCCTGTGGTTTTGGGTTCCAAATACCCGTCCTTCTGTCTTCCGGGCAGCCGTAAAAAAATACAAAGGGGGGAGCATGCTATCTGAGAAGTGATTTTTTTAGGCTTTTGGTCCTGGCCTCACCCTTTAAAATTCTGTGGTTGCTGAAGTTCCCCTCCTGACCCGAGAGAGAGCACGTGTCGCGCGTGGAGCTCAGCCAGTTTTCACGCATCAATGCCTGTGTGCGGCCAACAGCCAGATGCGAAACTCACACGTCCCCAGGAGCCTTCCGGTTACCCCGATATGCGGTCCTTTTAGAACCTCCTCCTCTCGTTAACCCGCTTGATGGGCCTGCGCCATCTCCCTGCGCTGTCCCTGCTGCCCCCACCCCCCCCCCGCCTCAGGTGACAGGCGCGCCCCTGCCATCTCCCCGCAGGTCGTGTACCAGCCACAGGAGGCCGAGCCACCAGCGTCCAAGTCCGAGAAGCTGGACCCCCGGCCTTTCCTCAGGGTGCTGGAGGCCATTGACAACAAGTACCCCCCCGAGGAGCGGGGCGACGTCCTCGTCTTCCTCAGTGGCATGGCGGAGATCAGCTCGGTCCTGGAGGCCGCCCAGGCGTACGCCGGCCGCACCCAGCGCTGGGTGGTGCTGCCGCTGCACAGCGCCCTCTCCGTGGCCGACCAGGACAAGGTACCACGCATGGCCCGTGCGGCCAGGCCAGGTGGGGTGGGCAGGGAGGAGGGGGCTGTAGGCGGTGGAGGGAGTATTTCCAGGGTGAGCTTCCTGGTGAGCTGGGGGCATCTGAGTGGAGCTTTGCGGGACAAGGAGGACTTGGAGTAGTCGAGGGAGGGCGTCGGGGTGTGGGTGCAGGAGGCCTCGAGCTCTGGTGTGGAGGTAGGAGTCTGCGAGCCAGGGGTGGGGAAGGGTCGAGAGGCTGCCCTGCCGGAGCGGGAGGGGCTGGCAGAGAGGCCTTCGGGTTACCCTGGTAGTTGTCTGTTGCCTTGTCATGGAGCCCCAAAACCTGGCAGCTGGCGAATGCGTACTGTTCTCTTTTCCCATGGCTCCTGCAGGTCGGGAATTTGCAAGAGGCTTGGAGGGGTGGGGGCATGCCTCTGGCCCAGGCTGTCTTGGCAGGGTGCGGCTGAGGGGTCGGCTGGGGCTGCTGCCATCCGAAGGCTGGCCCAGGGCCGGAGGGCCTTCCTGTAAGATGGCTCAGTTCGTGGCAGGCTGTTGGCCGAGGGCCTCAGTTTCCCTCCATGTGGGCTGTTTGAGTGTCATCCCAGCTTGGTGGCTGGCTCTCCCCAAGAGAACCAAGCAGAAGCCACAACATCTTTCACGGCCTGGCCTTGGACAACCCAGCCGTCATGTCTGCAGGGTCCGTTAGCTGACCTGGGCTGCTCTGGTCAGGGGGAAGGTAGTGGGTGAGGGTGTGGATCCGAGGAGGCGAGCCGCATCGAGGCCTTTGTGGAGGGTGACTACCGCAGTCCCCTGGGGAGGAGGCCCTTCAGGTCACCCTCAGTCATTGATTGAAGAGACCACCTCCTCAGTGCTTCCCCTCGTGCCGAGGGGGCTCTTTGGGACACGCTGGGAGCCAAGATACGGTCCTTCCCCTCACGTAGCTGCCGGTCTGTGGAGGGAGATGGCAAGCCATGATAATTTACAAATGGAAAAGAAAAGTTCTGGAAACGGGAGAGCAGAGCACAGTTGTGGTGGATTCAGGGAAGGCTTCCTGGAGGAAGAAACTTTCAAAACTGAGACCTGAGAAAGCCCCAGCCTAGGAAGGGGGCAGGGAGAAGGGTGTCTCGGCTAATGTGTGTGGAGCCGGCCAGAGCGGCCAGCTGTGTGTGCGCCTTGCCTCGTTGAGACCTTCCAGCAGCCCTGTCTGCCAGGGGCCGCTGTTACCCAGGACAGACACAGACACAGTGGGTCAGGCACTTGTGCGAACTCACATAAGTGGCTGAGCCAGGCTTTGGAATGTGGTAGTTTGGCACCAGAGCCTACGCTGTTAACCAGAGGTTACCAACTTCCTGTAAAGGGCCAGGGAGCACAAAGTCGTAGGTTTGTTCATCTGTTTATTTGAGAGAGACAGACACAGAGCGTAAGCAGGGAGAGAAGCAGACTCCCCGCTCAGAGGGGGGCCTGATGCAGGGCTTGATCAGGACCTCAAGATCATGACCCAAACTAAAGTCAGAAGCTTAGCCAGCTGGGTCACTCAGGTGACCCCAAAGTTGTGGGTTTTGTGAGCCATTTCACATCTAGCACAACTATTCCACTCACAGTAGGAAGGCAGGCACAGACAGACACAGGTGAGGCTGTGCTGGGTTAAAACTTGATTCACAAAAACAGACAGGAGGCTGGATCTGGCCCCCAGGCCTAGTTGCAGACCCTCCACTCTCGCCCACTGTGTTTGTCTCCTGGGCCCAAAAGAAGAGCTTGTGCAAAGGGCCTGTGGTGAGAGAAAGGTGGGGGCCCCTGGGAGACTACCTGCAGGGCGTCTGGGGTCTGTGATGGGGAAGGCAGGCTGGGTGCTAGTGAGAGGTGGGCAGACCTAAGCTGCGTGGCCTCGAAGACCCATTGTGGTGCTTGGCCTTTGTCCCAAGTGCTCCTGGAGCCACGGGAGGGTTCTAGCAAGGTGGGGAGTGGCGCCTGTTTGTCCTTTAGCAGATCCCTCTGCTGTGTGTGATCACGGGTGGGAGGCCAGAGGCCAGGAAGGAGGCTGGGGCAGGACCTGGGTGGGAAGGGAGGGCCTGGACCAGGACAGGGCTGTGGGTTTGAGGAGAATGGAATGAATTCGGAAACATTTAAAACATGCAGGTGTGGCTGGAGTGGGGAGGGGCAGGGGAGTCAGGACAGCCCCGATTTGTGGCGCACGTGTGTGATGAACCATCTCTGAGATGGGAACTCGGGGAGGAGGAAAGCGTTCAGTGGGAGGTGCTGAGGCTATTTGAGATACTGTAGGTGAGTGTGAAATGCCTGTGGGCCATCCAGGACACGTCAGGGAGGCCACTGGACATGGGTCAGCAAGGGTCTGTTAGTCCCGGATGTCACCTCCTCCCTACCCACCCGCCCCCCAGGTATTCGATGTGGCTCCCCCTGGAGTTCGGAAATGCATCCTCTCCACCAACATCGCCGAGACCTCTGTCACCATTGATGGGATCCGCTTTGTCGTCGATTCTGGTAAGGGCTGCTGCCTGCCACCCCTCAGGTCCTAGAGAGAAGTGTGGGGTCTGGAGATGTGCAAATGCAGTGAGGGGACTCCAGACCAAAGCAGGGAGTAGGTGGTTTTTAGGGCCGTGGAGCAGTGGCAGCATCTTGTCAGACATTCCAAGCTTGCTCCTGCCTCAGGGCCTTTGCACTTACTGGTGTCCCTGCTGAGAGCCATCTTTTTCCAGATATCCACAAGCCTCACCCCCTCATCTCATTTCAGGGCCTGCATAAACGTGTCCCCATCAGAGAGGCTCACCTTGTCTGCTTTGGTGATTTCCCCTTCCTCTTCCCGCTGTAGCTTCCCTTAAGAGACCCATCGTTCCTCAGAGTATGGGCCTTATATTTTATATCTGTTGGTCTATTTCTTTTCTGTCTTCCCAGCTGGACTGTTCTCTGGGAAGTCAGTGTAGCGTAGCGGTTGGGAGACACTGGGGCCAGCCTGGCTGTGTGAGCGAGGTGGCGTCCCTGAGACTGTGTGTGTCCGTTCGCTCATTTGTAAAGCGACAATAATAGCAGAGCCTCCTTTGGGCTGGAAGGCTTCAGCGAGTGAATTCGTTCCCCTGGGTATTTTGGGTGGTACCCGGCACAGAGAGAGCCCTCTGTGTTAGCAGTGACCTCACCGAATCTGGGGACCGTCCATGATAAAATATCCCATAATTCTGCATACCATCGAAATTTTAAAATGCTGGCCATGAAATATGGATATGTCGTTGCTTCTGGGGTGCGTCCCATTTTCAGAGGCGATGAAAGTGGCCAGAGTTGGTCTTAGCGCCGATGACCTCTGTTCCGCTCAGCCCCGTGAGGCTGGGGACAGTGTTTACAGCTGCGCCCCATACAGAGCCTGGCATACAGCAGGGGCCTAATAAGAACCGTTGGATAACCGGGCTTCCGAAAACGCAAATCCGAGACGTGTGAATGAAGGGCGAAAGGCCGAGTCAAGGAGATGTCAGGGTCAGGGCCGTGTTACTGGGAGAGAGGAGGCAGCAGGGGCTGCAGGGGCCAAGCCCGAGGTGGGGGGCCCCGCGGCTACTGCACCGGCTGTCCCGTCCCCGCGCAGGGAAGGTGAAGGAGATGGGCTACGACCCGCAGGCCAAGCTGCACCGGCTGCAGGAGTTCTGGATCAGTCAGGCCAGTGCCGAGCAGCGCAAGGGCCGGGCCGGCCGCACGGGCCCTGGCGTCTGCTTCCGGCTCTATGCTGAGTCCGACTACGAGGCCTTCGCCCCCTACCCGGTCCCCGAGATTCGGAGGGTGGCGCTGGACGCACTGGTGCTGCAGGTGAGGCCTCCGGCGGGACCCTCCGTGCCCTGCGGGCGGGCGGGGCAGGGGAGCGCGGCGCTTCCAAACGTCTGCTCCCCTGGCAAGGGCAGGGTTGTCCCCGGGTCCCCGAGCTCAGGCGGCCCCATCGGAATGCTTTCAGCAGCGACAGCCAGCCCACCCCAAAGCGGCTCTTGAAACCGGGACTTCTCGGGACAGTCTGGTCCTGGCTTCTAGGCAGCTCTGCTGCAGTTGGGCTGCTGGGTCGCGGGGGCCCCTCGCGGAGCGGCCGACACGCAGGACTTTAATCATCCGGGTGCTGGGCAGTTTCTTTCATGGGGAGACCCAGGCCCCTTCCCGGTGCGGCCTGCAGAGGAGCGTGGGAGGGCCTGAGGGCCAGGCCCCCCGCACTCACCCTGCCCTGTTAGTGCTCACTCCCGGGCCCACCCCTCCCCACGGAGCGTGGCCCTGGGCTCTGTGCCTGGGCAGAGGACAGCCAAGGGGGGCGGGGAGGGGCTTTCCACAGCAGCAGCCTCCCCCCAGGCGGAGTGGCTCGGGGCACAAACCAGCCCCCTTCCTGCAGGTGGTGCACCCCGAGGGTTTCTGTCAGATTTTGTTTTTCAAAAATGCCGCTCGGGATCCACTGTGTGCGTTCCTGACCCACGCGGCCTGCCCGATCTGGACGATGGGCCGTTTCATGTGAGGCGCGGTCCCCAGACAGGGAAGCAGAAGGCTTGGTTATTGAAGTGGGTCAGTGATGTCCTCTAGGGCTCGGGCTTGTTCTAGCCTTTTTAAAAAAATTTGACAGCAGAGATCACAAGTAGAGAGGCAGGCAGAGAGAGAGAGAGGAGGAAGCAGGCTCCCTGCCCAGCAAGAAGCTCGTTGCAGGACTCCCAGGACCCTGGGATCATGACCTGAGCCGAAGGCAGAGGCTCAACCCACTGAGCCACCCAGGTGCCCCTTATTCTAGCCTTTTCTGTCTTCTAACCATCAGTGGCTCTGCCAAGCGTAGCAATGGAGGCGGTGACGGTGCGCTTACCTCGAGCTCACTATGGGCCGGGTGCCCTTCCTGGTGTTGTGTGTCTAGAACTGTTTGGATCCCGCAAATACTGGGAGGCAGGTAGTCTTATCGTTCCGATTTCTGGATGAGGAACCAGTCGAACAGAGAGGTGATTTAAGTTGCCCCAGGTGTCCCAGCGGGATTCCCTCTGAAGCTGTCAGGTTCCGGAGCCGGCCTCGTACGTGCCACCTGGCTCAGATAGCCGTGGCCTCACCGCCTCCCTCTCTACCATCTAGAGGCAGATGAAAGTGCCACCCCTCAGGGCCTCATTTTTAAGGCCCCGGGAACCTTTCCCTGAAGGCCCCCGGCCGAGCCCCCACCCCATCTCATTGGCAGCACTGGGTCACTGGTGTCTCCTGGTGGACTTGGAACTGCCCGGGGCCGTGGCCTTGGCTGAGTAGCTCAGAGAGGGGACCTCCGGCTGCAGCCACTCACCGGAATCACCTCGAGAGCTGAAATAAAAAATCTGGCCTTTGCCCCACACCCAGAGCTTCTAACGTAAAGGTTTTTTCATGAGTACAGGGCGTCCTTCCGGGCGGCAGTGGGGAGGCCGGCCCACCTCAAACTACCAAGCCAAAGAGAGGATTTCACAAGGCTGTGCATCCGTTGTGGGGGGGGTGGTCTGGCTTAGGAATGACTAAGGACTTCTGCTGCTATCCTTGGTCTGGGAGAAGAGGTGCTGGACAGACAGCCAGTGGCCCTTCTCCCCTGCCTCTGTACAGTGGCCTTGACATTGGGAGATTTAAGGTAGCATGAGTTTGTGATCTGTGAGCCCCTGGCCAGTGCTGCATAGTAGCTCCCGTGTCCCCCATTCCTGGGGGGTCAATTGTCATTCCAGATGAAAAGCATGAGCATGGGGGACCCGCGAACCTTCCCTTTCATTGAGCCTCCGCCACCAGCCAGCCTCGAAACGGCCATCCTCTACCTCCGGGACCAGGGGGCCCTGGACAGCTCCGAGGCCCTCACCCCCATCGGATCCCTGCTGGCCCAGCTGCCTGTGGACGTCGTGATTGGTGAGGACGTCCTCCAGGGTGATCACCCAGGGAGCTGGGAGTGGCCGTGGGGACCGTTCATGCCCTGTGTGACTCGTCGGTCAGCCTGTACTTTCTCTGGGCCCCGTCCGATCAGTCACAAGTTCCTCGTGCCAGACCGTTCTGGGCGCTGGGGTGTGCGAGTAAACCAACAGGCCCCTGTCTCCTCCGCACACCCTGTTCCCAGCTCCGCCCTGCTGGCCCCTCTCTCGGTGTCGTAAGGATGTCAACACAGCCCGCTTCTTCCTCCTGCTCATCCTTGAGTCATCCGGGCCCTTCTGAGAAGCTCGCTGACCGACGTGTGTCCTGCTCTGATTCTTGTGACTCGTGACGAGCTAGATGCTCTGTGGCCTGCACAATATTCCCAGGCGAGCAGGACTCGCTGTGGCACTGTTGGCCAGGCTTGACGCTCCGCAGAACCTTCCGGCCGTGTTCCCATCATTCACGTCCCCTCAGGGCACCACCCTGAGCTTCAGGGGGGACAGGAGACTGGGGACCACCGACCCCGAGGGCCTCTCATGGTTATGAAGACGGTTCTGTTTGTTTTAGAAGAACACAGGGCCAGAGCCAGGGGAATCTGATCCGAAGTGAAAAAGAACGTTCTGTGAGCCTTGGCTGTGTGTCAATGAAAGGCTTTGTGGGCCTTGTGTCATTTCACTCTCACCTGGTGACGGAAGGGCATTTGGTCACCCCTTCTGTATAGGTGAGAAAGTTGAAGCTTGGCCGGGGACAAGGACCTGCACCCCAGGGCCCGGAGCGGGCGGGCAACAGGGCCTGGGCTGGACCTGGTGTGACAGGGGAGTGACTCACTGCAGCCTCTGAGAAAGGCTGTCACTTGCCCAGGGTCACGCCGTGGGCAGAGTTGGGAGGCACCCACAGCCAGGCGCACACTGTCGGTCCCCAAGCCCCGCGGGGCAGGCGGCACAGCTGACTCAGTGCCGGGAGGTTCCGGGCCCAGATGGCTCAGTCCTGCCTCCCCTGTGCCAGGTGGGGCGTCGAGTGCTTTCCCGTTCTCCCAGCAGCCAGATGCTGCTGTTGGCTCATTTCACTGACGGGGAAACAGAAGCGCAGGAGAAGGGAGGGACTTGCCCAAAGGACAGAGCTAGAGAGCCCTGGGACAGCCTCGTTTTCTTGCCATGTTTTATAAGGTTAGATGTGTAACAGGAACTTTCCAGAAAGGCGGCCAAAGGGACCGGTAAGGATGAGTCAAACACGTGTTACGCAGGCTGCTGACCACGGGACAGACAGGCGAGGGCCTGGGGGTCCAGACCAGGGACCTGCTGCTTCAATGTCTCCCCATCTTCCCTTCTCCTGCTTCACGCCCCCCCCCCCCATCGGCCCCTGCATCCGCCGCCTCCACCTTGAATTACACAAAGTGCAGGAGAGGAACCGTCCGGAGGCAGGCACAGGAGTCTGTGGTGTGTCAGGCCAGGCCGTCAGGGCTCTGGTGGAGTTTCCTTCTAGAGGGAGGGGGGCATGCGGGGAAGGAGAGCCAAGCCAGGAGGGGGCGCCGGGTGTAGAGCGGAGAGCCAGGCGGGCAGGGGCAATGCTCAGACCAGCCCTCCGACCGAGCCCACCTGGTGCCTTGGGGCAAGATTGTGGTCAGCCCCGACCTACAGATGGGAAACTGAGGCCTTGCCCAAGCTCGCATGCCTGGGAGGCAGAGTGTGGACTCAGTTCTGTCATTGTAGCTCCCAGGGCCCTTTGCGGATAAGGTGGAGGGGGCGGGGGGCCGGCTGGGAGGGGGGGGGGCGGGGAGGGCGGCGGTCCCAGTCCCCAAGAGGCTCAGCTCGGCGTCTCCCCGACCCGCCAGGGAAGATGCTGATCCTGGGCTCCATGTTCCACCTGGCGGAGCCCGTGCTCACCATCGCGGCTGCCCTCAGCGTCCAGTCACCCTTCACCCGCAGCGCCCAGAGCCACCCGGAGTGTGCGGCGGCACGGCGGCCCCTGGAGAGTGACCACGGGGACCCCTTCACGCTCTTCAACGTCTTCAACGCCTGGGTGCAGGTGAGGCCAGCGGTGGGGCTCCTGTCTGTGACATTGCGAGTGGGACAAGAGGTGGCCCGCTACCCTGGTGAGGACCCCGAGCCCTCTGCGGACTAGAGGGCCCCTGTCTCCACTATCTGCTCCCGTGGCCATGGGACGCTGGGGCCCAGTGTCGAGGGGAGGGGAGTGATTCCAAAGCACCAAGTAAGACCACTGCCGCCCAGAGGAAGGGCCCACGCTCCTAGGATGGCACTTAGTGTCCAGCATGTGCTCTGGCCATGCAGTCCCAGGGACCCGGTGGTGACTGAAAGCCCTTGGCCCTGCCCTCCAGGGTCACACAGTCCTGTGCAGGGAGGCAGACCTGTCCCTGGGCTGTGACCTCCCAGAATGGGCTGTGATGGCAGTCCAAGGGACTGGGTGTGCCCATAGGGGATGTCTGACCCAGTGTAGTCTGGAAGGCTTCCTGTAGGAGGAAGCAGTGACACCGAGACTTGGGAGAAGAAGGAGAACATGTGTGTTCCTGCCTCCTTTTCTAGGGACTGCTGTTTGGGCCCATTCTGGTGGCGGCTGGGGGTATCTGGGTGCTGGGTCAGCCGCTGCACCCTTCCCTAACCGACCAGGCCCTGACCCTCCGGCGTCTGGTACCCCACCCAGGTGAAATCTGAGCGGAGCAGAAACTCACGCAAGTGGTGCCGCCGCCAGGGCGTAGAGGAGCACCGGCTGTACGAGATGGCCAACCTGCGGCGCCAGTTCAAGGTGAGGCTCAGGACCAGGGGAGGGGGCCGGGTGGGGGTGGGAGAGCGAGTGCGGGGGCACCCACCCCTTTCCTTCTCTGATGGAGCAGTCAGAGTCCCACCCTACACCCACCCCCACAGCCATCAGACACTCAGATGTGGGGTGGCCTGGGTGAGTCATGGGTGGAAATCCAGGAGGGCTTCCTGGAGAAGTGGACAGGGTCAATGGTCACGTTATATCCTCACAAAGAACCTTGCCATCTGGAGCAGGGTGCTGAGCTCTGGGAGGCAGCAGGGGCCGACGGCTGGCACACCAGATCCGAGCGAATGTCCCAGTGGCAAGTTCCAGCTCTGTCATTTGCTAGCAGTGTGGCCCTGGGCAAGTTCCTGCAAGGCCCTGGGCCTTGGCCTCTGTGCCATCCTGTGAAGATTAAATGAGTTAATAGACGAGGGGCACCTGGGTCGCTCAGTGGGTTAAGCCTCTGCCTTCAGCTCGGGTCATGATCTCAGGGTCCTGGGATCGAGCCCCACATTGGGCTCTCTGCTCAGCAAGGAGCCTGCCTCCCCTCCTCTCTACCTGCCTCTCTGCCTGCTTGTGATCTCTCTCTGTCAAATAAATAAAATCTAAAAAAAAAAAAAAGTTAATAGACGAAAGAGCCTTTAGAACAGGGTAAGTCCCCTGTGGCATGGCTGCCCGTGGTTGCGCATGACCACACTGGGGGGCCCAGAGGGGGCGGTCACCCGACCACGGCCTACTGTGCAATTTTAGGAGACCTCCCCACCCCACCCCCTGTCGGAGACCGCAGATGCTTGGACTGTTCTCGGCATCTCTGGCTTTCCAGGACCTTGCTTTGGCTTTGGTTGGCTTGCAGAGTCCGAGAGGGTGGTGAAAGGCAGGGGCTCCTCTCTCTGTGTCGCACAAGACATCCCAAGTCCTCTGAAACGGTAGGGGCCGGCGAGTGGCAGGCCCAGGACCGGAGCCCCAGACTCAGCCTGCCCTGTGTCCCTCACCCGGGCTCCACCTATCCCCAGGAGCTGTTGGAGGACCACGGGCTGCTGGCCCGGGCACAGGCCGCAACACCAGGCGACAGCTCGCGCCGGCTGCAGGAGCGCCGGGAACGCAGGGAGCTGTACCGCCTGAAACGCCAGCATGAGGAGGGCGGGGGGCGGCGGCGCAAGGTGCTGCGGCTGCAGGAGGGCATGGACGGCGGCTCCAGCGACGAGGACCGGGGGGCCGGTGATGGCGTGGACATCCAGGTGGGTGCCGGGGCGGCGGGGGGCATGGACAGGACCTGGCCCCCGTACTCTGTGGCTCCCTGGGGTCCTAGTGGCAGCCCCTCAGGTACCAGGCTGGCCCCCCCCCAGGAACCTGCCTTCCCCCCACCTTCCCCTCGCAGGATGTGAAGTTTCAGCTGCGGCATAGCCTGGATCAGCTACAGGCGGCCACCAGCTCGGCCCAAGACCTGACACGGGACCAGATGGCGCTGCTCAAGCTGGTGCTGGGCCGGGGCCTCTACCCGCAGCTTGCCGTCCCGGACCCGTTCAACAGCAGCCGCAAGGACTCGGACCAGGTGGGCTTCCTCTGGACGCTTTGCCCCTCGGCATGCCTTCCCTGCTGTGCTCGGTGCTAAGGACACGGGAACAGTCCTGGCCTTGCCCTCATGGGGCTCCAGTGCACCGGGGCAGAGGGCGGGGGTGTCAGGGAAGGCTTCCTGGAGGAGGTGACTCCTGAGTGGAGACGTGGATGGGGAATCTGGCCAAGAGAGTGGAGAAAAAGGGTTGTGGGCAGCGGAGGAGTAGGTCTGAGGGCCTCTGTCACTTGGTGTCTGCCTCTGCAGATCTTCCACACGCAGTCCAAGCAGGGGACCGTGCTGCACCCCACCTGCATCTTTGCCAACAGCCCGGAGGTACTGCACACGCAGGAGCAGGCGGCCAGGGGCGGCGAAGCCAGCCGAGGTACCGGGAGTCTAGGCAGGGAGAGAAAACCCCCTCGGGGGGGGGGGGGGGGGCGGGAGGGGACGATAACGTCAGGGGGCCCCTCACCATCTGGGCTTGCCTCCTGGCTCCTGCCCACACTTTGCCGACATGGGACCGGCTGGTGTCGGGGTGTTGGGGTCCCAAGAGCCAGACCTCTCGGGGACTCTCTTGGGGACTCACTCCCACGCTGAGCCCCACCTCCCCATGGTGACTAGTGGGGCGCTGTGGCCACACCCTAGGCCAGAGCTTTTAGCAAGTAGGGGGGACCTGTCCCAGGGGCTCTATGAGCGCCCTAGCTTGGTCCTGCCCCAGGGCACCCCTGGCCGCTGGGGCCCGGAACGCAGCATCCAAGCGCTGGGCCAGGCAGGGGCCTGGCCAGGATGCCCCCTGTGTGAGTTCTGGGACAGCTGCTCTCTGTCTTTGTTTATATACAAAGTAACCGTGGTAAAATGTGAACATTAACTCCAAAAGGTAAGGTTTGTAATTTTCATTTTTTAAAAAGATTTTTTTGACAGAGATAACAAGTAGAGAGGCAGGCAGAGAGAGGAAGGGAAGCAGGCTTCCTGCTGAGCAGAGAGCCTGATGTGGGCCTCGATCCCAGGACACTGAGATCATGACCTGAGCCGAAGGCAGAGGCTTTAACCCACTGAGCCACCCAGGCGCCCCTAAGGTTTATAATTTTAAACGGTGAAGGTAGAATTTGAAACTTTCCCCTCAAATCTTTAACTGCTGTAAATTTCTAGGCAGTCCGCTCTCTTCCTGTTACATTGTTTTCCTCCTTTATTTTTTCATTTTGAAAAGTCCCAGACCCCTTCCTGGGAAAGAATGGGACGAGCCCTCGGTAGCCTCACCCAGCTTCCTGCCACCCTGTGTCTTCTGTCACCTCACGTTTTGCTCCTTTTTGCTGGGATCCGATCTCAGGCCTGTCGCTGAGAAGTGTAAAACAAGGACTGGTGTTTTCGCTGCTGTGATGCCTGGTGAAATCAGCAGTATTTCCTACTGCATGGAAATGGCCCTGGGGGGACGGACCAGCGGGGGCTGCTGTGGGCAGGAGATCAGGTGGCGGGGGGACCCTGAGCTGCCCTCCGGACCGTTGCAGATGACAAGGACAAGGTGAGCAGCAAGCACCAGCTCCTCGCCTTCGTCTCGCTGCTGGAGACCAACAAGCCCTACCTGGTGAACTGCGTCCGTGTCCCCGCTCTGCAGGTGTGTCCCAGCCGCCGCGCAGCCTGACCGTGTCCCTGGGGCAGGAGGCCGGGCTGGGCGGAAGAGCCGCCTTCCCCCAGCTGGCTGCTGTCTCTGCCTTCGAGTATCCATCCAGTAAGCACTTGGCTGAGCGCCTGCTGGGTGCCGGGGACTGGCCTAGGCACCGACAGCCCAGCAGGCAGTAAGACCAGCCCCGGTCCCTGCTGGCGAAGGGGTCACATGCAGCTGGGGAGGATGGCAGTAATGACAGACATGCTAGCGGGTGAGGACGACTTGGGGAAGATGAAAAGAATAGGGTAAAGGGGTTAGGGTGGGGTGAGGGTAGGGAGCAGGTTGTAATAGGAAGGTGATCAGGGTGGGCCTCGCTGAGAAGATGCAGTGGAATGAAGAAAGGAGCCACCAGGATACTTAGGGAGAAGAGTGTCTTGGAACAGCAAGTGCAAAGGCCCTGAGGCACATGCATGCCCACTGTGCCCAGAGAACAGCTGGACCAGAGGTAGTGAAGGGGAAAGTGGCTGGAGCTGGGGTCAGAGAGAGGAGGTCCGAGAGGCTGGGACGTCTCCCCCTCTCCTGGGAGGGTTTGAATAGGGCTGGAACAGGGTCTGATGCAGGGCAGTGTCAGGAACCCAGCGAGGAGGCGACTGTAGTCATCCTGGCAGGAGAGGGTGGGGGCCGAGGACACGTGTGGGTTGTGGATAGGTTGGTGTATGTGTCTGTAGCCAAGAAGGGAGAGTCCTGCCAGCGTTAGCTGCGCCGCCTCCTGAGTTCCGCACACCACCCTGCCCGCCGAGGCCCACCCTCCCTTCCCGCTCTACAGAGGAGCGAGGCTGGGGGAAGGCATAGGTAGTGACTGTTCAAATGGGAGGGGCCCTGTCTGAGGCGGCTTTGACAGAGGCCTCCGCGAGGTCACTGCTGCCCGGTGGCAAGACTGGATGAGGACCCAGACTTCCTAGAACGTAGTGCAGTTGATGCTTTGACCTTGGTTGGTCTGTTTGTCCAAGTACAGTGTCCGTGCCGTGGGGGTGGGGACCCTCACTTGCAGCCAAGGCGGGAAGGGGCCTGGCACGCAGGGGGCTGTGGTGGGTGGTGCGGGTGGACGGACAAGTGGGGGGAATGAGGGGTGGATAGTGTCTCTTGAAGCTGGTGTCCTGCCCCGCACCCCACCGTCTGCCTCCTGTCCCCTCCCTTCCAGTCCCTCCTGCTCTTCAGCCGGTCCCTGGACACCAACGGCGACTGCTCGCGCGTGGTGGCTGACGGCTGGCTGGAGCTCCAGCTTGCGGACGGCGAGAGCGCGCTCCGGCTTCTGGCAGCTTCTGTGCGGCTCCGGACCCAATGGGAAAGCGCCCTGGACCGGCAGCTGGCCCATCAGGCCCAGAGGAGGCGGCCAGAGGTGGACAAAGGGGAGGACACGGCGGCTCCGGGGGACCGCAGGGAGGTGGCAGACCTGAGCCGGGACCTGCTGCGGTTTGTGGCATCTGAGGTCCGTGCCGCCTGCGTGGCTGTGCCCACGTTCACAGGCCAGAAGGCCTGTCTTCCCCTCCTTCCCTGGTCGTGCTTTGGGGTTTGCATTGGACTCCAGGCACCCAGCGGCAGAGGCCGAGCCATTAGCCCCTGTGGGGCCCCTTCCCCCAGCCCCCACAGTTCTGTGTGCATTTATTGAGCACCACTGCACGTGCTGTGTGAGGTGCTCTCATGCAGGCCAGAGAGGGAAGCTGTAAGAAGCGGTCTGTTCACAGAGGGCGCAGGGAGGAACTGGGCGGGGCAGGTGTGAGGTCAGTTCCCCGCCTCGTAAGTGGGCAGCTGGGAGTCGCTCCCAGGTCTGCGTGCAGATGGGGTAGAGAGAAGGGTGTGCACCAGGGTGACTTCCCAGAGCTGCAGGCCCGGGGAGCCAGGGCAAGGGGAAGGGACCGGCGTGCTGGGTGATGGCGGGTTGGGTTGTGGTCCCACAGGTAACAGGGAGCAGAAAAGGGGCACTGGCGCGGATGCTAGACCAGCCTCTTGTAGCCAGTGCCTGAGACCGTGCTGTGACTGACTTGAGCAGTTGGCCCTGTCCTGGGTCCGATTTCAGGCACAGCTGGATCCAGGTGCCCTAACAATGTTTCCTTGAGTCTGTCTCTCTTTCCTTCCCCAGGTTCCCTACAGCCTCCGGCGGCTCACAGGGCTGGAAGTCCAGAACCTATATGTGGGACCCCAGACCGTCACCGCTGCCCCCAGTCTCCCGGGCCTCTTTGGCAGCTCTACCCTCTCCCCCCACCCCACCAAAGGGGGCTACGCAGTCACTGACTTTCTCACCTACAACTGCCTTGCGGTAAGCATGGACCCCACCTCGGCCCATCACACCACCCCCAACCCTAAACGGAGGCAGTCCCGGCCTCCCCCCCGACAAGCCACATCCCAACTTAGGGCAGGAGGTGGTTTTGGCGTGGGGCCCGCCAGCCCCGAGGGGTGCTAGCACAGGTCGCAGGCGGGGGGGCTGGTGAGTGGGGCAGGGGCACGTCCTGATGCAGCCTTCCTGCCCCAGAGTGACACGGACCTGTACAGTGACTGTCTCCGCACCTTTTGGACCTGCCCCCACTGCGGCCTGCACCTGCCCCTGACGCCCTTGGAACGCATCGCCCATGAGAACACGTGCCCCGAGGCCCCGCAGGACGGCCCCCCAGGTAGGGACGTGGGGGAGGCCGGGGCAGCTGTGTCCACCCGCCCCTCCTGTGGGGCTTTACTGCAAGGCTGGGCCTTCATCCGCTCCCCGTCTGGGGACTGAGGACCTCAGCCCTCTGGCTCTGGTTGGTGCCACATCGGGTTTTGTCACAGAGACTGGGAACCAGGGATGGGAGGGCCCAGAACATCACCTCTTCCTCATTCTTTTGTGTCTGTCTCTCTGGGCTCCATGTGGGGCTGACTTTGGTCTGCCTCTGGTTCTATTGCTGTGTGTCTCGTTCTTTTCTCTGTCCGGCTGCTGTCTCTGGCTCAGCCACCCTGCCCCTTTGTCTCCCGAGGGGTGCCACAGCAGGCAGATCCCACCACAGTGGCCGGGGCTGGTCTGGGAGGTGGCAGTGGGACCCCATGGTCCCCATGCCAGGATGCGCTCTTCCTCAGTCTCTGTGTCCCAGGGGGTGACAGAGACAGACACAACGAGACACACAGAGCAGAGACTTGCCTGTGTGTGTGTGTTAATCAAGGAAGGCTTCCCTGAGGAGGTGAAACCAGAGGCCCCAGAGACTGGGAGGTGGCCTAAGCCCTCTGGGTGCCTGGGACTTGGGGGGGGAGGGTGGGAACACGCAGGGGTGACTCCCACCCCCGACAGCCCACCTGTCTTGTAGGGGCAGAGGAAGCCGCCCCCGAACCCGTCCAGAAGACATCTGCCCTGCAGAGGCCCTACCACTGCGAGGCCTGCCAGAAGGACTTTCTGTTCACGCCCACAGAGGTGCTGCGCCACCGGAGGCAGCACGTGTGAGCGGGGCCAGGAGCCCCACCTGTCACTCTCTCACCCCCACCGGGCACCGAGATTCCTGCCCGAACCGCAGCCTGGGCTCAGTGCTCTGGTCGGGCCGGCCTGGCATGGGGGGGAGTGTGAACATGCGAATAAAGTCTCTTGTGCGGCCTCCTGCTGCCCCTCGTCGGTCCTCCCGCGCCCCTGCTCTCATCCCGCCTGCTGATCCGAGGTGCCCCAGGGCCCAGGGAGACAGCAGGGCCTTCAGCTCCCACGCAGAGGACCCTGATCCACCCCCACCCCCCTGCAAGTCTGTCCTCACGGGCCCTGCTTTTCCTCAGATGGGGGAGACCTGCATTGTTGTCCATCCGTACGATCCGCTTTGAGAACGGGGCAGGGGGTCGGGGTGGGCCCACGTCTGCCGCGGTGCCCGGGGCCCTTCCCGCACGCCTGAGAACCAGAGGGAGACGCCGTGAACCTCGATGCTGGCAAATTCCACGGCTCAGGTGAAAGAGAAAAGCGAAAGATGCAGGCGACCAAAGCTCGCTGCAGAGGAGGGAGGGAGGGCTGTGGCGTGAGTGTGGTCCCCGCGGGACCGGAGCAGCGGTAAAGTCCCCTGCCGGCCTGCATGGACACAGGCACGGAGCCCTCACTAAGGTTCCCGCCGGCCCCAGTCGGGGGTCTACAGAAAGGACAGCAAGTGCGTCATGGCCTGGGGGGCCTTATTCTAGGAACAGCGTTGGCTTAACATTTGAAGACCAGCCCGCGGGATTCTAATATTAAAAACTTAAGCGCATCAGACAACTGCAACGCCCCGTGGCCCTGGGGAGACCCTCAGCCTCTCCGCTCTGCTCCGTCCTTTCTCTCTCTGACCGATGAACACAGCCCCACCATCTGCCTCAGAAGCTTCATGTGCATCTGGAAATCCAGGAAAGCTCTCGAATTTTGTTTTCCTGAGTAGGAGAGCGACGCATGGTTGTGTCGGGGCCGTGATCAGAGACTAAATGAAGGCGCTGCAGGGGTATTAAACAGGAAGGGGGTTAATAGAGGGATGGGGGGGCCGACAAGAGCCTGGGAGGCTGTAGCTGTGGGCTCCGGTCAGGCCCTCAGGAGTGACCCCCAGGACGACAGGACCCCGAGGCCACTGCCGCCGGGAGTGCTGGGCGCAAACACGCCCGGCCCCGGCCGTGACCCTGGGTGTCTTCTGTCTTCCTGTGTCTGGAGGGGGTCCGCCTGCTGGCACCTGCTCCGTGGCCAGAGTCTGGCTCTGCCGCCAGAGGGGAGGGGGTCAGGCGGGCCCACCCGGCGCCCCTGCCATGGGCAACACAGGAGGAAGCTGAGGAGGTGCAGGAACATGACAGAAGGAGGAAGAACCCCCTCCCCCACCCCCGTGATCTGGCTGCGGGGCACAGCCTCCAGCATCCTCCTCCGCGCACGCGTTTCCAGACAGATACAAACTGGTCAAGGTCCTGCGGTGCTCTTGGCCCCTTGAACAGTTCTGGGAGACAGATCCTAAGTGTTTCCGCAGCTCGTTGCACTTTGTCTGAAAGTGGACTCTTCACGAATGGCGGAGCAATGGCCCAAGTGTAGACACCCCACTCGTAAATACCCGTGTCCTGCCCTTGCGTGTCTGGACTGTTTCTCTGTTAATTTCCCAAACAGTGCAACAGCGGACACCTTTGTTTGCATCAGGGGCTCTCTGTCTGCTTCTGAATTCCTCCTTTTAAAAAGGCTTTGCCCATTATGGATAGTTCAGGAAGACTGGAAATAGAAGGGGAAAGAATCCCCCGGAATCCACCCCGAGAGACCCTGGGCACCAGGGGGTTTGGATCCTGTCAACTTATTTGCACAAAGCATCTGCACAGACACAGAGGCCGCTTATCACCTGCGTGTCTGCCCCCTCGGTCCCCTCGGTCGGTGGCAGGGCCCGCCTGGAGCCATAAGCCGCTTCCTTCCATTCTGTACCACGCTCTGCACCCCCCCCCAACCCCTTCTCACGGGGCCTCTCCCCCAGCTTCCGGCTGCTTCCTTAGGGCCTTCCCGAGAGAGCAATTAGTGGGTCAAAAGGTAAGAGCGTCCTCCCCATTCCGTCTCACCACCGGCCCCCGCAACCCTCGGTGCGTTCTCTAGAAGAGTCTGTTCCCGGTTTCTCTCTTCCCTGCTCTTTGCTCGTTAATTTTGTTTCTTCGATTCCACCCGTGAGTGAGATCCTATGGTATCTGTCTTTTCTCTGACTGGCTCATCTCGCTAAGCATTATACCCTCTAGCTCCAAATACGTTCTTGCAAAGGACACCATTTCACTCCTTTTTATAAGGCTGAGTAATATTCCATCGCACGCTCTGACGGAGCGCACTTGTCGCGATGAGCACACTACATTGTATGCCCCAAGCTAACCTGCCACCGCGGAGCAAAAAAGGAACATGTTACACTTACACACACCCACCCACAAAGCATTTCCGCGGAATCTTCGGCACATGATGGCCAATTTCTCCTCTTTTTTAACCATCCGCGTTTCTGTCCAACTTACAAGTGGAATTGCATGCGTTTCGATATAGTAGCAAACCCTCGATGGTGCCTGCTGTGTGCGGGGCACAGTGCTGGGAGATCTTGTATACCGATACAGAGCTGGGTCATCACATGGACGGGCCGAACGTTTTCTTAGCTAGGCCCGTAGAGAGAGACATTTAAGCTGTTTCCAATCTTTTGCTCCCACCAACAAAGCTGGCATGAATATCCTTGCACGTGGGTCATTTCTAGATATGTGTGTATAGGCTAAATCCCTGGGGGTACAATCACTGGTCCAAGGAAAGGTACATTTTAATAGGTCATTTGATGGATTCTCCTTCCTATCTGTCCTTCCTACAGGCTGTAGTGACTTAATATTATTTTTATTTCCCCTAATTGCCAGCAAGCCCAAGTATCACTGCATGTTCTGTACCTTTTGTATTTCCTCTTCTGTTGGCTCAAATCCTAGACTCTTTGTCATTTTGTTATTGGTCTCTGGTAGCTCTTTATATGTTCTGGATCTTAAGCATCATAGATGTTAGGAATATTTCTCTCACTTTGCTGCTTTCTTTTGGCTTTGTTTTTGGTGGCTTTACTCAACATTTTGAAATTTTTTTTGGTGGTCAAAGCTCTCTCCCATTATGATCCCTGAAAATGCCTTCCCTGATCCAAGGCATTAAAAATAGAGAAATAAGGGGATGCCTGGGTGGCTCAGTGGGTTAAAGCCTCTGCCTTCAGCTCAGGTCATGATTTCAGGGTCCTGGGATCGAGCCCCGCATCGGGCTCTCTGCTCAGCGGGGAGCCTGCTTCCCCCTCTCTCTGCCTGCCTCTCTGCCTACTTGTGATCTCTGTCAAATAAGTAAATAAAATCTTTTAAAAAGAATAGGGAAATAACTGGTTTATGGGAGAAAATAACTCAGAGCTGCTCCCACCCACCGCTCAGCCACGTCTCCTTAGAACATTATGGCTTGTCAGGACTGTTCCTGACAAGTCTTCTTTTTCATGTTAAAACATAAATGAATGTCCCACTGGCAAGAAACAGTTTTTATTTGTGTGCGCGCATGCGCGCGGGTAGGGAGGTGCTAAAATGGAAGCTATCCAGCATCTGCCAAAAAGATCCAAACAGCCCCTGGGCTCTGACCCTCTAAAACCACTCTAGGAGGTGAGTCTGAAGGACCCTGCCCAAGGAAGGGAGAAAACTCAACACCCAGATACGTCCTCCAGGGCATTTGTCCAAATTGAGAAGTTCTTATTACCTGCCGGTCACCCAGGGCACTACGTCTGCTCCAAAATGTGCGCAGAAGCTCCAGGTGGGGCTGTAGCCTGGCCAGTCTCACAACAGCAGGAAATAAGGCTCCCCGACACCTCACTTTTCACCCATCAGACTGGCCCAAGTTAAAAAAGATCGATAAGGCTCCCCTGGGGCAAGGGCTTGGGGAAAGGGGCACCTCCATTCGCCCCGAGGGGACTTCGTACTTGAATTTCACAGCAGCTTTCAAGATGCAAAGTGCGTACACATCGCTCAACAACCTTTTAAAACTTTCCCTTGAAGCGTAACACACAGAAAAGGGCACAGATGGTAAGGGAATGGCTTTGTGAATTTCCACAGAACACGAAACACGCCCAGGCCACCAGCATCCTGACAAACCAACCAGGGCCAGCCCAGGCCCCCGCGGGCCGCCAGCACCCTGAGCCCGCACACTGTCGCCTAGCCCTGCCCCTTCTAGAACCTCGTAAGAATGTTCTCTCTAGTGTCTGGCTTCTTTGGCTGATATCCTGGTGCATGGAGCTGTGTGGTTTACTCATTCTGTCGTGGGAATTCATCACACTTTGTTTAATCTGTTCTTTTGTTGATGGGCGGCTGGCCGGGTTAATGCCGCTGCGAACACACAGTCCCTGTGGCTTTGGGTGAGCCCATCTGTGCCCTACTGCAGAGTTCGCACCCAGGAGAGGCGTCGCAGGGTCACGGGACACACATGGGTTCAGTGATGGTAGATTTTTTGCAGTTGTCCTCCAAAGTCGTTATACCAGTGTGTGCTCCTACTAGCCATGGGGGAGACCTCCCATTAGCTACGCAGATGACATTTATTGTGTATTTACTGCATTGTACTTGCATTTTCCACAATGGCTCTTGGTGTCAAGTATCTTTTCATGGGCTTATTGGCCATTTGTTTATCTACTTTTGATCATTTTTTTTAAAGATTTTATTTATTTATTTGACAGATAGAGATTAGGAGTAGGGAGAGAGGCAGGCAGAGAGAGAGAGAGGAGGAAGCAGGCTCCCTGCAGAGCAGAGAGCCTGATGTGGGGCTCGATCCCAGAACCCTGGGATCATGCCGGAGCCAAAGACAGTGGCTTTAACCCACTGAGCCACCTGGGTGCCCCTACTTTTTGTCATTTATATCCAATATTTTGACTCTCATGAAGGAATTATCTTACTGATATGAAGGAGTTCTTTTTATTATGTATATAGTTTACAGGGAGCCTGATGGCTCAGTAGGTAGAGTCTTGATCTTGGGATTGGGAGTTTGAGCCCCAGCTTGGGTGTAGAGTTTACTTAGTAATAAAATAATAAATAAATAAATAAAATAATAAAATTTAAAAAAATACATGGTTTATGTATTTATATAATATATATAGTCCTTTATAGAATATACATGTCATGCGTGTAGTGAATATTTCCCCCAAGTCAATACCTGGTTTTTCAATTTCTTCCACCCTATGACCTCATTTTACCTGGGTCATCTGTCAAGATCGCATCTCCAAATAAGGTAAGGTCACATTCATAGGTCCTGGAATTAGGACTTGAGTATATCTTTTTGGGGGACACAACCCAACTCATATCACTGCCTCCCCGCCCCCCCAATCTACCCTCTGCACGGCAGCTTCACACAAAGCACAAACCCGACTCTGTCCTTTTTCTGCTCAAAATCCTTCCAAGACAATGGAATAACTTCCTACCATAAAAAGGAACAAAGCACCGAGACAGGCAACAACATGAAGGAACCTTGAAAGCTCTGTGCTGAGTGAAAGAAGCCAGACACAAAAGACCACACGGTGTGTGTGGGGGGGTGGGGGTGGGGTGGGAGGGTGGCGTTTTGTTCAGGCTCTGATCTCAGAGTTTTGGGATGGATCTACAGGGGGGATGGCACTCAGTGTGGAGTCAGCTTGAGACTCTCTCCCCCGCTGCCCCTCCCCCTCCCTAAAGTAAATAAATCTTTTAAAAAAGAAAAGACCCTGTAGATTTCATTTCTATGAAATGCCCAGAACGGGCAAATCCACAGAGCCAGAAAAGTGGATTAGTAGCTGCCCCGGTTTGGGAGTTGGGGTGGCGGGGGAGCAGCTGTTGAAGGGTGGAAGGTTTCTTTCTTAGGGGTAATGAAAATGTCGTGCAGTTGATTATGGTGACGGCTGCACAGCTCTGTCACTAGACGAGAGCCATCCAACCGCACGCTTTAAATGGGACGGTTTTAAGGTTAGTCAATTACATCTCCATGAAGCGGTTGCAGACAAACCGCCTTCCACGGCTCCTCAGCGCCCTCTGGAGGGAGCCCAGGCTCATTGCCTGCCCCACATTCACCGGCACCGAAGCTGGAATGACCCGGAGCCGCGCTGTCTCGCTGTCCTGCAAACAGAGCTCCCAGGACCCTACAAAGCCACACGCAGAGACACAGCCGTGGACTCATTCAAGGAGGCCCCCAGTTATGAAGGAGACCCGCTTCGCCACACAATCCCCCCCCCCAGACTCAGGTAGTGACGCCCCGAGTCTCGTAATCGCAAACACACGAGCTGGACCGAGGCACGGCGTGACAGACGCAACCCGGGACCCGGGCATTGGTGGGGGACACACGCGCGCCGCGCAGGGACAGGCTCAGCCGCCGGTGCCCACCCCCAGCCGCACAGGCCCGAGCCAGCCGGGCCCCGCCACTCGCAACCCCTCCCCGCCCCCCGCGGGCTCCCCGGAGATCCGGCGGGTTCCCCACCTCCCCCGGCCCCGAACCCCGGGCGGCCGCGGCTTCCTCACCCTAGGAAACGGGGGAGGTATTTTTAGTTACAATTAACCTCCCGCCCAATTTCTCTCCTCCCCGGTGGCACATCCAATTGGTTTAATTAGAGAGGATTCAGCGAGAGGCATTTCCAGTCGCCGAGCAGGTGGGGAAGGGGTAGGGGAACTGCCCCTTCCCCCCCTCGCCCAAGTCCCGGGTTCCCCCATTCCTCCGCCCCCACCCCTACAGGCAGCGCCCGCTTTCCCGGAGGCCGACAACAGGCCTCCGTCCGGCCCCGCCCCCTCCCTGCACCCCGCACCTGCCCTCAAAGTGGGGCCGGGACGTCCTTCCTGCTTTCTAGCCCCCGTCCAACCGACTTCAGTTCCGCGGAGCTGGCGGGAGATAAACACGATTCGGAGTCACCAAAATCATATCTAACACAGAGAATAGATCATGCTAGGTCCTTTCAAAATCACAGACTCTTAGAATTCTTTTTTTTTTTTTTTTTAATAAGAGGCCGCGCGGGCGGAGTGGTTAGCCCACAGGCTTCAGGACACCGGTCTGAATGGAGACCCACACTCTCCAGCTGTGTGACTCTGGGCCGGCGCAAGTTCACCACTCTGGGCCTCAGTCTCCTCATCCGGGAAATGGGGACAGCGCACTACCCTAGTCCTAAGGGTGAACCAGGTGGGTTGGTGTGGAGCCCCTCGGAGCCTGGCCCCCAGCGCGCAGCAGCTAACTTCCACCCCGACTCTGCTCTACTTACGACCTCCTGTCACCTCGCAGTCTAAACCAAGTGCTCATTTGCTCGGCCCTTTGTGGGGGCCCCCCATACTAGGACGCCAGCTCCTGAGGACAGGAGGTCTTGGCCTTGCTCACAGACGTGCCCAGAGCGCGGACTGCGGACCTCAGAGACACCCAGGGCCGGGGGCCCGAGTGAATGAGGCTTAGCTGCCTCGCTTCCTCTGCCCTCCGCCTCTTGTCCCCTGGGCACTTGTGGCACGCCCGGGGCTGCCAGGGCTGAGGTTCAAGCCAATAATGAAACAGGCGAATTAGTGACGGAGAGAATTCCAGGGAGGGGACGTGAGGAGGAAAAGGGATGGGATGAGGAAGGAGCGGCAGGTAGTCGGGTGCCTGGGTTTGGCTGCTCCTGAATCTTTGCCGAGGGGACTCTGAGCAGGGGAAGGTGATCCAGGGCAAAGGGAGCGCCTAGGACAGAGGCGCGGAAGGGGGACTGAGCTATTTGCCACAGACAAGGGCCCAAACCCAAGCAACTTACAGTTTGCACTGAGCTCCACGGCAGCTCGGGAACAAAACAGCAGGATTGGCAGCTCCTGGAGTTGGCGGCTGACCCGTGAGTGAGATCTGAGCCACGTGCACCTTATTCCGGAGGATGAGGGCATCTGTGGATCACAGGCCTCACAGGGCCTCAGTTTCCGTGTTTGCATTAGGAGGTTCCAGGGGCTGCTGTATTAGGAGGTGCCTATATGAGGGGCTCCTGGGTGGCCCTGTAGGTGGAGCCCCGAACTCCTGATTTAGCTCAGGTCAGAAACCCCACGCAGTCTCGCAGTCTCGCTGCTGGAGTCTGCTTGTCCCTCTCCCTCTGCCCCGCCCCTAACTCTCCCTCACACGCATGCTCTCTCTATATAATAAAATTTTGAAAAAAAAGAAGAGTATGTGAGTGAGTGGTGTTTGGAGGTGGGCTCTGGGGGTCTCACCCTTCCAAGCTCAGGTCTGTTCAGTCCTGAGAACGAGTATCATGGAGAAAATGGGGATTTGAACCCAGGCAGGTTGGGGATAGAGTCTGGGTTCACGACCTCCCTGCTGTGCAGCCTGGTGGTCTGTTGGCCACGCATGAGTGTTTCCAAGGACACCCCAGGGTAACTGTGTTTGTGTCCCATGGGACAGACGAAAAAAGTCATCTTGGAGCCACAGTGTGGGAGACTGATGCAAAAGGGGCCATTTTTCTTCGTCCCTCCCCGTGTCCCCATCTCTTGTGCTGTGAGTTTGCAGGCCCCCATCCCCGCCCTGTAAGGGGTGGAGTCCCTGTCTCCTCCCTTGAATCTGGCTGGCCTTGAGATTTGTGGCCAAGAGGATGCAGCTGAGAGAACCAGGAGTCAGACCTGAGCTGGGGCCTCAGGAGGTCTTGGGCCCTTCTGTTCCTTCTTGAGGGCCAGCTGAGCCTGTGTGTGAATGAACGGGACAACCTCCTGTTGCCCCTGCTGCCAGCCAGCAGAGCCCTCTTGCTGACCCATCTCTGGCCACAGATACACAGCAGAGCCCTGTTGAAGTCACATGAACTGCCCAGCAGAGCCTAGTTATGCCAACCCATAGCATAACGAGCTAAAAGAGTTGGCCTTGTGAACCACAAAGCTTCGGGATGGTCTGTTACACAGCAATAGCTAATTGATACAGAGTGCCTCGGGAGAGTGGGGATAAAGAGTATCAATTATTGGGGCGCCTGGGTGTCTCAGTGGGTTAAAGCCTCTGCCTTTGGCTCAGGTCATGATCCCAGGGTCCTGGGATCGAGCCCCACATTGGGCTCTCTGCTCAGCAGGGAGCCTGCTTCCTCCTCTCTCTCTGCCGGCCTCTCCCCCTACTTGTGATCTCTCTGTCAAATAAATACATAAAATCTTAAAAAAAAAAGTATCAATTATTAGGACACCTGGGTGGCTCAGTCAGTGAAGTGTCTGCCTTTGACTCAGGTCATGATCTCGGGGTTCTGGGATCGAGCCTCACATCGGGCTCCCGGCTCAGCGGGGAGTCTGCCTCTCCCTCTGCCATTCCCCCTGCTTGTTTTCTCACTCTGACAAATAAAATCTTTTAAAGAAAAGAGTATCAATTATTATAATTGGTGGTTCATGAGCTTCAAATTGATGAGAATTTGAATCTCGAAAGAGACACAAGAACACAGACTGGCGGCTTTTTGTTTTTAAAGATTTTATCATTAAAAAAAAAGTAGAAGACGTCAGTGAAGGGAGGTAGGGGAGAGAAGGGGCGGGGAGTAGGCTGGCAGGACGAGGGGACCTCTTCCAAATGTCGGATCCGGCTGACCCTCCTTCCCTGACCTCCGCAGCCCACTGCCAGTCCCTTCTCTAGCCTGGAGGCGGGGGACCCCCCCAGTCACCATCTTCTGAAGACCTGGGCCTGGGATCTCAGCTTGGGCTCCAGGCAGAGGTGATGGCAGAAGTGGGGTGCAGGGCCTAGGGGCCTTGTCTTTGTCCTTGAGAGACCCTCGAGTGGGCGCTCAGGCCCCCATGTCCCGGTGGGGCCCCAGGGAGGTAGGCATTGCGTTGGGGACCTTAGGAGGTGGGGTCCTGAAGTCAGGGGGCCAGGCGGGGACCGGAACCAGGTGTGAGCTTAGTGGTCACAGTCCGGAGGCTGGGGTCTGTGGAGAGGGGATGAGAGGCCAAGTCAGGAAGTGGGGAGGCATTTGGTCCCACATCAGCCCCACAGTGAGAGGAATGCAGAGGGAGGGAGGGAGGGAAGGACAAGGAATAGAAATAGAGGCAACAGAGAGAGAAATGAAAAAAGAGACAAGACCCTTAAGACCAAGAAAGAGAAAAGAAGACAAGGAGAGAGACTGGGAACCCCCTCCACCTCTTTTGAGGTCCCGTGACACTCAGACCAGGCCACACCCACCCTTGGTTGGTCGGGGCAGAGCTGAGACCCCTACCGACCTGCCAGGCCCTGGACAAATGTCCACCTCTCCTTCCCAGGCTCCATGCCTAAGCTCTCTTAGGTCTCCACTCCCATCACCCAGCCTTTCTGTTGGCCCCAAGTTCACTACTCGCCAGCCAGCCTGCTGGTGCCAGCCCAGGCCAGTCCTCCTTCCCCTCATCGGTCTGGAGGCAGTGGTGATGGGGGCACAGGGCTGTCTCATAGCCTTGAGTTTGCTAAGTGCAATGGGAGAACCTTCAGTTCTCCTGGTCTCAGCTCCCAAGTCCCCTCTTCCGGGAAGTCTTCCCTGAAGCCTCCCAGCCTGGGTCTGATACTCCCTTTGGGCTCCTCCAGTTCCTGGGTTCCCTCATACCAGCCCTGTCCACTTTGGGCATCACTGTCTGAAGACTGGTGTGTCTCCCCCAATGGACAATGAGCCCGGTGAGGGCAGGGCTGGGCTGTCGTGGTCACTGCTATGTCCCCAGCACTACCCAGCCCAGGGCCAGGCACACAAGTACTCAGGGAATGTGCATTAAATGAGGGAGTGTAGAGGTGCTGAACTGAAGATTCTGGACTTCACCAGAGGGCACTAGGGAGCCACAGAAGAGTTTTAACTCGGAGTCAGTCAAGGTCTGATTCGTGTTGTAGAAATTTCAGGCAGCCCCTGAACCCTGGGCCTTTGCACACACTATTCCCTCTACTTTTCTGAGCTCAGTGAACCTGTACATGTGAAGTTTTCTTCCTGAGCATCAATTTTTCTCATCTGTAACACAAAAATAATAATTTCTCCCTCTTGGAGGGTTTTTATGAAGACTAAGTGGGAAGATGCTCTGACGTCTTAAGACCCGGGAGAGTGAAAGAATGTACCCAACTCCCTTGCCCCTCCCTCTTCTCCCCAGTGGACTCCTATTCATCCTTCAAAGCCCTACCCAGAAGTTACTTCCTCTCTGAAGTCTTTCCTGCTATCTCAGGGACAGGTGACGTCTCCCTCCTCCGAGCAAGCTCTGTATTGCTCCACCTGTTGCTCTGGGCCGTCATTCCTTTCTGATGTTCACTTCCACCAAAGCTCAAATTTTCTCAAGAGCAGGACCCTGTCTGAGACTGGTCAGGATCCGGAAGAGGGTTTCATGTCTGCCGGAGGTGTGTGAACGGACGGGTGTGCGGATGACTGGGTGGGCAGATGGGCAGGTGAAGCTTTGGAGGGGGCAGATCAGTGTGGATGGGGGTGGAAGCCTGGGTTGTTGTATTTGCTGGTTGGAGGACCGGTGGTGGACGGAGGCATGGGCGGCTCACAGGTGGGCGGCTGGGTCGGTGCGGAGGTGGATGGCTGACCAGGTGGGTGGGCGGACAGATGACTACAGATTGAGTGGATGTGTGTTTACATGGAGAGCGGGTAGGTGGATAACTGATGGGTGGACACACGTACAGATGAATGAATGAGCGGGTGGGTGGATAAACCATCTTCCCACTGAGCCCTGCACACCCAGGTGGACCCCCTCCAGGTGGGCGCAGTATTGGAATCTGGAGGCCTTACCGAGCTTTGAGATGTACACAACCCCCAACCCAGAACCCCGAGACATCGGACACTCACACTTGTCCTGAATCTATAGATAATGCCACTCTCCTTCTAAGTTCAAACTCATTCCCATCGAACCTGGAAGAGAAAAGAGGAGGGCTGTGAGTCTTCCCCCGACTTTCCCATATGCCCCAAATTCCTCCCACCGTCTCCCTCCCCAGGGGATCCCTCTATCAAGACAGACTGAGTCATCATTTAAGAAAGTACTAGACCTGGGACGCCTGGGTGGCTCAGTCCGCCTGGGTGGCTCAGTCCGCTGAGCCTCTGATTCTTGGTTTCAGCTCAGGTCCTGATCTCAGGGTTGTGAGATCAAGCCCCATGGTGGGCTCTGTGCTCCTCACAGGGTCCATCTGTCCCTCTTCCTCTGGTGCTCCACGCCTACCCCACCCCCACCCTGCGTGCGAGCGTTTGTGTGTGTGTGTGTGTATACACATGAATGCGTGTGCACGCTCTCTCTCTCTCTCTCAAATAAAATAAATAAATAAAATCTTTTTAAAAAAGGTACTAGTCCTTTAAGTAAAACCTTCCAGTGGATGGGCGGAGCCTGGAAGAAACAAGCTCAGCTAAGAAGTGGGCTCCAGGAAATCTGTGATGGTCCCTCCAGCTCCACTGTTATGCAAATGAAGTACTGCATTATTCATGAACTGAATCCCAGAAGGTGGGGCATCTTCATTGAGAGGAGGGGCCTGGTGTGCTGGGGGCAGGGTTAGTTAAGGGGCAGGGACTTACCTGGAGGCCTGACAGTCATGTGTGGCTGAGCTTCCGTGTAGCCCCCCATGGGCTGGCCCTCTGGGCTGAAGGCTGCACTCTGCCCTGGGAAGGAGGTTGAGGGGTGCAGGCTGAGCCCCGGGATATGCAGGTCCCAGCTTTGATACTCCCCGGGGAACATTAGGCCCTCTCTCCGCGTTTTCTCCCTGTACCTGTGCGGTTGGATTGATCGATCATTGGTTGCACGATGCGTCTCCGGGCGTTGATGAACCTGGGAGGGGGTTGTGGAAACCGAGGAGGGTGTAAAGAGGGAGTAGGAGAGAGGTCGAAATGACACGGAGACAGAGCTGGAAAGAGGACGGGATAGAGGAGGGGAGAGGAGAGGCTCACGGGGGCTTCGGGGCCTCCTTCAGCACCGTGGACAGCGCCCGGCCTCCCACCCAGGCTGGCCCAGGGACTCACATGAGCCTCCTGGGTCACTCACCAGTTGTTGACTTGCAGGATCGTGAGCCCTGTGTCCTGCGCCAGCTGCTTCTTCTGCTCCTCCGAGGGGTATGGGTGCTGTGACCACCAGCAGAGAGTCACCCTGCCTGCCCAGCTGCCATCTGACCTCCAGGGCCTGGCCCCGTGGGGATGGTGAGCCCAGGCTGGGGCAGGACCCAGAGACTCAGCTTGTCTAAGCGGCTCCAGGCTTCCCCAGGGGCCAGTGGAGGGAAGCGGAGCCAAGCTTTGGGCAATTATGCTTGCGGGCGCCCCCGCCTCTTCTAGCAATTAGAGGCTAATTGGCCAGCTCTCATTAGGGAGACCAAAGCTCAGGGTGGGGGCTCCAACACCAGAAGGGAGGCAAAGCCCAGCACGGGCCCTGTCTGAGCCTCTATCAGGGTCCCAGTGCATGTCTCTCAGTGCACGTCTCTTGCTGTCCCGGTCTCAGTCCCTCTGGGACTTAGTCTCTCCCTGACTCTCATTCCTGTATTTTCCCGGCTCCCTCCACAAGGCAGCATGTTGCACTGGAGAAGCCCAAACTGCCCGGATCTGAACCCATGTCTGGCTAGGAGACCTCGGGGCTCCTCGCTTGCAGAATGGAACCTCCCAGCCCCATCCTCATAGGCTCTGTTTGGTGATTGCTGGGCGGGATGTGAATGGCCCGTGGGTTGGGGGCAGGACTGAGCCCTAGTGGCACCTGGCAGGCAGCCCGCGCTCAAGGATGCTTGCTCGAGTCAGGCCCCTCCCCTTGAGATTCGCCCTCTGTATCTCTCCCGAGTCTCAGTCTCCCATCTCTGGGTATCTCTTGGGGCCTCAGTCTCTGTGCGGCCGTCTTTCTCCTTCTCTCTCTATGCCCACCCTGCACCCGGGCCCCAGGGCTCTCACCGAGAGGTGCTGGAACAGCCAGGCTCTCATGATGTTAGTAGCCACCTTGGGGAAGATCCCCCTCTTCTTATTCCGCCGCCGCTCCTGGTCCAGCTCCTCGTCCTCTCCCCCGGAACTGGGAGAGGCCACACTTGTGTCTAGTCCATCTCCTGAGGGAGGACAGGCAAGCTGTGTTGGTGGGCAGTGAGCAGGGAGATCAGAGGGACCCAGAACCCTCACCCGAGAGACCACTCCACACCCCTATTGTCCTTGCACTTCTGGAAGTCCTACTTGCTGTCTAACTTAAATCCTCAGGCCGACTCCCACATTTCCCCTCCACCTCCCAGGCTTCTTACCTTGGTCACTGGAGTTGTCCCCACTCTGGGAGGCTAGGCCCCCACTGGATGGACCCGGGGTCCCCAAATGTACAGACCCGCTGTCCTCATGGTCTCTAATCCATGTATTATTCTGGAAAACAAGAGCTAAAGGTCAGTGCCAAGGCTTGGGTGCCCTATAGCACAGTGACTGAGATGATGGGCTCTGGAGCTGGGACACCTGAATGTAAATCCTGTCCCTGCCTCTTTCCTGGCTGTGTGGCCTTGGGCGAGTTGCTTCACTTCTCTGTGCCTCTGTTTCCTTAACTGGAAAATAGAAGACAACAACGGTCCCCACCTCACAGAGCGTGGAAAGGACTCGGTGATTTCATTCGTGTAGAGACACACAGCAGTCGCCCCATAAACATGAGCTTACATAGATCCACAGCAGCTTAGCTGAAATCCTAGAGGGCCAGCAGTGTTTCAGAATTTAGAACTTTCCACATTTTAATTTTTTAAAAATTTATTTTTAAAAGTAACCTCCAACTCAAGACCCCAAGATCCAGAGTCGCGGCTCTACTGCCTGAGCCAGCCGGGTGCCCCTAGAACGGTTCCCCTTTGTAGACACTAAATCTGCCCACACACTGTGTATTTCATGACACCCCCAGCAGGGTCTGGGGCTTAACCTCCTCATCAGACTCATTAACATTTCTGCAGCAAAATGGATGAATATTTAACTAAGTGGAATAAATAAAGTCTATAAATAGCCTCTCATTAGTTCAGGTCAGACTTCACTGCCAAATGAGTTTGCACTAAACTTAAGGGGTATAAAAAACAACTTCTATTTTTCAGAGATGGGGTGGGGAGGTGTCTCTGAATTGCAGATGGGGGGGAGGGTTCAGGCTGTGCTTTATCTAGACTCTGACACACTTTGAAGAACTGGACAATGCATTAGCTCAGCCCTTGGCCCGCTCTGTGTCCCAGCGCCTGACCTACCCGCACACACTGTGTCAAACCCTCTTTGTCATTCAGTTTAAGGTTCAGCTCGATTGCTGGGAGGCCGACTGGGTGGGTTACAGCTCTTGTTGAATCCCAGGGTACCCCACCTGTCCTGATTGCCCTGGACCCTGCCAGTTGCTTTGTAAGCAGCACCCCCACTCCTACCCCCATCTCCCCATCCCCCCCCCCACCCCGCAGCCTGCCATGGCCCACCACGGGTGTCTCATCTGTATCCTGGGGGGGCCAGGCTGGAGATGTCACAGCTCGGAGAAGGTTACCCCGGGTGTGGCATGTCTGTGTGGAATGGTGTATTTGAGTGCATGATGGACGGGTGTGCAAACTGTGGCATCATCAGTCCGAAGGCTTTTGATCTTGGCTGCAGAGGCTCCTGGGGCTCTCCAGCGCTGGGTCTGATGGGACGCCATGGGTGCGTGTCCAGAGCGGTGTGCCTGAAGCTGCCTTGAGACTATGGTGTGGCCCGGGTCAGTGCGCTCACGCCTGCGTCCCTCTCTGAGATGACCTTGTGTACCTTCCTGAGATCACGAGGCCTCGGTGTCCTAAGTTTGCGTCTGTTGTTCAAGAGGTGGGTTGTCTTCTCTGTGAGATGGTGTGTGTGGTTACTGCACGCGTGGCTTCGTGACTACACCGGGCCGCATGACTGCCACGGGTGTGTATTGGCGACGCCGCGAAAACGCGGAATACCACCAGGCCTCTGAGTGGGGTTCTCGCTGCGCATGTGCAGACCGTGGGTTGTGTGGCAGAGGGTCCTCGAGGCCCGTCTGTGACTGCTGTGGGCAGCCTGCCCGAGTCTGTGCCGGGGCACGGCCATGAGCCTGTATCTGGGGGCAGGTGTGACCCCCTTGCGGGGGTGGTCCGGGTCGGGCTCTGCGCTGCTCTTACGTGACTGTCCATCGGCACCCGGCGCGGCACGGAATGTGGGTACCTGCTGCGGTCCGGCTGTCATGCGGTGAAGGTGGCACGTGTCTGCGTGTGCGCAGGCCCTGCACTCGCGCCGCGCTGGGTCTAAGTGCGGCGGTGTCCGAGTCTGGGTGGCAGGATCTGGGACCGTTTGGCTCCGTCTGTCGTAATGGCTGTTGCTCTAGAAGTGCGGGTCTCGCTCGGGGTGTGCAGCGTATGACGCTGCTCTGCGGCTGGGACGCGTGTGTTTGAGTAGGTGGCATATGTGCTCATCTAGCCGCGAGTGAGAACGGCGGGGACTGAGTTTGCGTGGCTGTGTCTGAGGCTGTGTGGGTACAACGGAGTCTACGTGTATGCGTGTGTGCATCTGTGCGCATGCGCTGCCATCCGGGTGTGTCCTGGTCTGCGCAGCCGCTCTTGCGTCGTGGGCGCATGCCCGGTGGTCAGGCATAGCGGGCTGAGGCTGGGGGGTGGGGGCGCCCTCACGCTGTAACCTGGCTGTGTCCGCTCACCGCTATGGTTGCGGGGTGATGCCTGGTGCCCCATCCCCGGCCCACCTGATCCGGGAGGCTGGGGCAGGAGGCCGGGTAGTCCTCGAGGTCCTCCCTGCAGCCGCCATCCCGATCCTCGATGACCAGGTCGATGGGCATCTTTCCCTTGAGGCAGGTGATGTAGCGGTGACAGAAGTTGTCGCACAGGTCGTGGACCTGAGGGGGCACCGGGGTACTGGGGGGGGCCACCCGGGAGCCAGGGCTGGGGTGTACAGGGATGGGGCAGCATTCTGCTCCAACTCCAGTGGGCAGAGGGCCTGAGGAGGGGTGGAAGGGGTGAGAAGGGGAGGGTTGGGGGGGAAGTGAGGGTGTGAGGGGAAGTGAGAAGCACTCACCTTCTCCAGCTCCAGCAGGTGGAAACGGAGCACCTGAATGGCCTGTATCATCTGAAAACGGAGACAGGAAGAGACAGAGCAGGGGAGAGAGGGAGGGATGGAAGGAGGGGCGGGGGAGGGGAAGAGAGAGAGAGAAAGAGGGAGAAGGACCAGAGGAGGAGGAGGAAAAGAAGGAGGAGGAGGGAGGAGAAAGGGGAGAAAAGGAGAGAGAGAAGAACAGAAAGAGTGAGATAGAATGACCAAGACAGAGGACAGGCAGAGAGGGACAGAACCACAGGGTCAGAGAGTGACGGGGAGCAGAGACAGAGACCCAGAATTAAGGAAAGATGAAATGCCCGAGAGTCAGAGACAGAGAAAGAGAAGCAAGAGGTGGGCGAGACGGGAAAGGATCCATCACAAGAGAAGTGAATGACTGTCTGCTGTAATAAAAATACCCCATCTTTTGCCTGCTTGCCCCTTGCTCCATTTCCCACCCTCTGACTGTAAACTACATTTCCCAGACCCCTTTGCCAAAGGGGTCACCCCATAGGAAGCCCTGGCCGGAGGTGGAAAGCAAAAAAAAAAAAAAAAAGGGAGAAGCCAGGGTATTTCTCCTCCTCTCTCCCTCTCTTCTCTCCTTTGCCCTTGGCAGCCGAGTCCCTGCACTCATCTCGGCATGGGCTGTGTTGTCCTGGCTGATAGAAGAGCTAATGCCTATTTGGTCTCTGTTCTGTGCCAGGCACTGTTCTAAGTGCTCAACTCTTGTTAGCTCATATTCTCACAACAGCCCTAGGAGATAGGAATAGCTACTAGCTGCAGATGAGGAAACCGAGGCACAGGGAGATTCAGCTCCTTGTCCTGGTTCACAGAACTAGTGAGTGGCAGAGCTCCAATTTGAACTCAGGCCATCAGTCCCAGTTCTCAAACTCTAGGCTATCTATACTCATTGTAAAATGGCAATAATTACAATTGTTTGAGAAAGTGGGTCTGATGACCTCCTGTCTGCTCCCATAACCAACCCCAGGGCTATGGAGGGTGGGAGAGGAGACCCCTGCGGAGGAAGGAGCATTGGGAGGAGGGCAGAGATCTCACCAGATTGTCCAGCTCCGGGTTGGAGGAGAAGAGGGGCCTCTCAGAGCGGACCTGGGAGGAAGAGAGAGACCAGGGAGGGTGCGTCCTGTCTCCTGCCCACCCCTCCTCGCTGGTTCTCCTGGCGCACAGCAGATGGGGATGCCCACCTGCTTGGCAAAGGCAGCAATGTCCTCGTTGAAGGAATCAGAGGAGCATACGTCACCACCTGGAGGTGTCCCCAGCCCAGTCCCGGCCCCATCCCGGGGCGAGCACGTGGCCAATTCACATTTCTCAAAGACCAGGGCCAGCAGCGGGAAGAGCGGGTGTCTGGGGGAGGCAGGACAGAAAGTTCATGAGGGGAGAGCAGGGGACGAGTGGAAGATGGAAGCACCTGGGAGGGGACAGAAGACCCAGGGAAGAGATGGAAAGACCAAGACAGAGCACGAGAGTCTGAGACTCAAAGAAAGGGGCCCACATCCCAAGACCCCACAGAGCCTTCAGTCCTGTCCCCACTCACCCGTAGATCTCATCCTTCTCCCTCCTCAGGCCATCACTGTCCAAGCCCAGGGGCTGGGGTTGGGGAGGCCGGTGGGGGCCATAGGGCCCCGGGGCTCTCGGTGCCGAGGGCACTGCCTCTGAGAAGCCAGCCAGGGCTGCAGTGCTGTCCACGATGCCTGGGTAGTGGGGCAGCTCATCGTACTGGGGGGAGGTGAGAGGGGGAGAGCACCAGGGAGGCATCAGGAAACCTCCCTACCCTGGCACCCAGGAGATGTCGCTCCTTGCCTCCCCAAACCAGCCCTTTTGCTCCCTGGGTCTGAGTTCTGCCACCTTTAGACCGTGGATGTCCCATGGAGCTGTCTGGGTGGGTCTGAGAGCCCCAAGCCATGGTCTTCTCTTATACCCCTGGCCTATGAAAAATATTCCATCAGGGATTCTTGATGTGTGGGCAGGAGGGTCCAGAGGAGAGAGACTGACCCGGGTCTCAGGTCTGAGGGTCAGGGTGGGGGTCAGGGATCAGCTGATGGTAACTCCCAGCTCCTCCCGGAGCAAGGAGGGGAGAGAGCCATGGAGAGATTAGCCATGGAGAGATTCAGAGAGAGACTAGGAACGAGATACAGATAACAAGCGACAGACAGAGAGGAGGAAAGAGCGGGATGGAGGAGAGAAAATACAGGAAAGAGATACTCACTCACGGGAGACTTCCCATAAAAGCAGCACAGCACGTCATTTATGCATAAATGTATGTCTACACTGTACCCCCCCTGTCAATTTCATCCCACAGTTGTCAAATAGGCACATCTGACTCTGCCTTAACAACCTGTCACACCCCACTCACCATGTGAGTCCGCCCCCTCCCCCCCAAGAACTAAACACCAGACACAGCAACGAAGGAATGAGTGGGTGAATGAATGAATGAGGCATTCAGCGCATGCGTGAATGGCCGAGAGGTATTTAGCGCATGCGTGAATGAATGAATGAATGAGGCATACAGCACGGCACCTGGCACACATTTCATAAACACTTGTTGAACCGAAGTGTAAGCCCGCACAACCGCACAACCGCACAACCCACTTGTGCGATCCGCCCCAAAGCGAACCACTGTCATCACAAAAGCACGCACCCTGGGGAGGCCAGAGGGGCCTTAATCCACAGGGCCAAACCCTCTCCTTGGACTTGAGGAAACAGACTCAAAGAATCAAAGAGACTCAAACAGAAGGATGCAGACTTCCTTCCCTGGGTAGCCCTGGCCCCTGCCCCTGGCGGGTGTGTGCCGAGGGCCCTGTGTGTGTATGTCCCTCTCGCCATCTCTTTCTCTTCCTCCTCTCCTAACTTCTCCTGAGCCCCGAAGTTGAATCCAACTGTTCCTAAGATGTGCAAGGGGGTCCTCACAGCCTGCCATGTTCCCACCCCCTCCACCCCCAAAGGTGCGTACTCACCTCCTCGCCTGATCCCCTCAGACTGCCCCATCCCCAGGACCACAGAAGAGAGAATCCCTCTGCCCGGCCTGGTGAGAACCCCCTCCCCAGTACTGTCCCCACCCCTAATCCTTAGGAGGACTTGGAACAAAAGTAGACCGGGGAGGAGGAGTGGGGAGGGCAGAAGAGGAAGGAGGGGGTAGGAGAAAGGACCTGAGATGGAGCAGGAGACTCAGGGGTGGAAAGAGGGGGGAGACCCGGGGCAGAGACAGAGGAGACGGGGGGGGGGGGGGGGAACAGAGGAGGAGATCCAGGGGGTGGAGAGAGGGGGACACCCGGAGCAGAGATAGAGGAGATCCGGGGATAGAGAGAGGAGGAGACCCGGAGCAGAGACGGAGAGACTAGGGGCAGAGACGGGAGGCAGAGAAAGAGGTGGAGAGGGCGGGACGGGTTGATGGGGGCCAGAGAGCAGGAGTGGGGGCGACGGAGGGACAGGGTGCGCGGCCCGGCTGGGACGCGGGGTGTCTACCCTCAGACCTACCCTCCGGGCCATGGGCTGATGCCGGCGGCAGCTCCCGGGTCCCTCCAGGGCCTGGCCGGCAGGGCGGGCGCAGCCCGGGGCAGCGGCCCCCGACGGGCCGCGGTGCGGACGCCAGGGGGTGGGGCAGGAGACCGGGAGTCCGGCCCCCCCACCCCCGCCGCCGTCAGTGGCCGGCGCCGGGCAGCGCGGAGGCTGCGCGCATGGACCCCCGGCGCCCTCCCCCCGCGGGGGTCAGGGCGAGGGGATCATGACGGCGGGGGCAGGGGTGAGCGGGGGGGCAGGCCCCCAGTCCTTCCCCCCCCGCCCCCGGGGTCCCGGGAGGATCGGGGCGGCCCGCGGCCGACGGACCCGGAGACTGGGGAGACTGGGGTGGTGGTGGTGGAGAGACTGGGAGAGGGCGCGGGCGGGCAAAGGGAGGGGGGCGGGGGCGGCGGGGGGTCCTGGCGGCAGCGGGCTGGAGGGCTGCCGGCGGCTGGGTGGCTCGGTGTCTCCCCGCCTCCCGGTCTCTCCCGGTCTCTCCCGGTCTCTCCCTCTCTCTGTGGTCACATCCGGAAGTTCCACATCGAGATGCTTAACCCGCTGTCCGCCGGTGGCTGGGCCGCGGGCGGGGCGGGCGGCCCCTCCCCCACCTACCCCCTCTCCCCCTCTTCCTCCCGCGCCACCGCCCTCGGGGCGGCCTTTGTGTCGGGGTCTCCCCGGGTCCCCACCCGGGCCGCCCCCGTCCGCGCCGCCCTCTCCCCGCACCCGGCCCGGGCCTCCTCGGCCTCCCGCCCCGCGGCCGCCACAGGTCTCTGTCCGCCCTGCCCGGCCCCTGCTCCCCGGCTCCCTTTCTCTCCGGTGCGCCTCTCTTTGGCCTCTCTGTCTCTTTGTCTCTCTCTCTTTGTCTCTGTCCGTCTGTCTGTCTCTAGGAGACGGATGAGCAGACAGAGAAGAGAACCAGAGGCTGTAAGTAACCAAACCCCATATTTTAGTTTCTGTTCTTGCTCCGGGTCCCCTAACTTCCCTCCTCTGGGAGCCAAGGATGCTCATGGGCCTGTGTCTGAGGCTGTGTGTGTGTGTGTGTGTGTGTGTGTTTATGTGTCTGGTTGTGGGAAGATGCGAGGTTATTACTGTCTCTGAATATGGTGCCTATTGGGGTGTGTGTCTTCCTCGGTTCAGCGTCAGGCCTCAGACAGTGGTGTGGAAGCCCCTGACTTGGAGGGGGGGGGGCGTGTGTGTGTGCACATGGGGGTTTGCACACGTGTGCAGGCTTGGAGGTGTTCCTGTGTCTCTCTGCCCAGTTCTGACCCAGGCCTTTCACAAGGGTCTCCCCCACCCTGGGTTTGGGCAGTTTGTGGAATGTGCAAAGTTGAGGGTAAACCATGGGCCTGCTCAGAGCAGGTCTGGAGCTTTTATCTGGCTCCTGGAGGATCTGGGACCCAGAGAGCCTGTGCAACTAGGGTCCTAATGAGACACAGGAGGTTTCTGCAACAAAAATTAATATTGAGGGGCGCCTGGGGGGCTCAGAGGGTTAAGACCTGCCTTTGGCTCATGTCATGATCTCAGGGTCCTGGGATGGAGCCCCACATCGGGCTCTCTGCTCAGCAGGGAGCCTGCTCTCCCACCCCATCTACTTGTGACCTCTCTGTCTCTGTGGGTCAAATAAATAAAATCTTTAAAAAAATTAATATTGAGCTCCAACTGTGTATGCGGCCGGGTGGGGGGAGTGTCCTGGAGACACAGCAGGGAGAAAAGATAAACTTCTTGGCCCCCTGGCACTTGAGTTCTCTTGGGGAGGTCTGGGGAAAGAGCAGACCAGTAAGTAAGTGCATCAGTGTAAAAATAATTCCTGGAGTTGACAAGTGTTCTGAAGCAAAGCAGAACAAGGACAGAGGAGATGATATAAGGGGATGTGGAAAGCCCTCAGAGGAGGTGATATCTGAGCAGGGACCTGAAGAAGGTGAGGGAAGGAGCCATGTGGACTTCTGAACCCAGAAGCATAGGAACAGCAAGTGCAAAGGCCCTGGGGCAGGAATGTGTCTGGTGCATTGGACAAACAGTAAGGAGGTCAGCAAGGGTGACCACGGCAGAGGGCAGGTAGGAGAAGAGAGACAGACACCTCGGATTCATCGTCTCTGGCTTTTTCTACATTAGGGGTCTTTATCTTCTGGTGCCCTCAAATTCCTGAGAGGATGTGCTGATGCACATCCTGGAGGCCTGTGAACGCTGTGAAATTGCAAATGGTGGGCTGGGTGCCCATGTGCTCCTTTCCCAGGGAAATGGCCCCTTGTTTTCATCCTATTGTCATAAAGGGATACTGGATCCCCCAAAGTTACCCAACCATCACTCCTGAGAGAGTGTGCCAGAGAGAAGTGAGACAGAGATCCAGACAGAAGGGAGACAGCAACAGAGATCCAGAAAGAGGGGGACAGAGATCCAGAAGGAGGGGGGACAGAGTTCCAGAAAGAAAGGGACGGGGTGGGGCTGGCAGTGAGAGAGGGGCGGAGGCAGTGTGCCCACCCCTGCTGGGCTGACTAAGGATATTTTTATGACCCTCATAAACAGCTCTCCTCTGCGGTGATCTGCTTCTCCACCCTCCCATCATGTGGAAGCGAAACAAAACCACCCAGGGCAGCAGTGAGACCACGGCAGCTAAAGCTGGAGGGATTGAGGTTAGGAGAGCAGCAGCACTTCCCAGTGGGAGAGGGCTAGGGAGCAGAGGGCTGTGAGGAGGGCAAGGACAGGACGATGACCCTGGTCTCTGTCACTCCTGGGAAGGTCCCCTCCTCTCCCATCCCAGGCTCAGCCGGTGTCATCCCAGAACCCTCCCTCCTCTGTCTCTCTCACTGGGCCACCTTCTCCTACTGCCTCACTCTGTCTCACACGGGACCTCAGGCCCTGTCTCTCTGGCCCTGACTCCACCACCAGCCCTCCAGCCTGGCCATCTCTGGGTGTCCTCCAGGAACCCGGGGTCCAGACCCACCTTGGCCCCTCCTCTCAGCCTGTCTCCCCATGGGCAGGATGGGCAAGGGGCCTGGGGGGGGAGGGGACATGGTTAAAGCAGAGAGTGCCAGGACCCGGAGAGCCTTGGCTGACTCTGGGGTCCCCTGTGCCAGTGGGCACTGCCACTGAGGCTCTTGGGAGCAACTGTCCCTGGGGTGACGCTGGCCCTTTAAGGAAGGAGGAAGGGAGGGTAAGGGGGCCGGGAGAGCCTTTCATCACTGCCACACACCCCGCCTCCTAGATAGGGGTTTTGGAGCAGAAAATTAATTTAAATCACTTTTTAATTAAAGATGCAAAGCTCTTCTGTCTGCCCCCCACAACTGCCTTCAGCTGAGGTTCAGGGTGGGAGGGCCTGGGATGTGGACGCCCAGGCTCGCCTTACATCTTGGGGCGGTATGCTGAGGTCCGCTTCCCAAGCTGACTCTGAAAACAAGACGTGTGGCCTGATGTGACAGTCCCAGTGGGGAGTGCGTGGACAGAGGGAGAGAGGCAACCTCTTCGCTGGGGTGGGGCATCCCAGGGAGGCCAATGGGGGGTTGTGAATGAGAACCAGGCAAAAGCAGCCCTGGAGAGAGCCAGGGAAGGGCTGGGGGCAGACTGAGTTACAGACGGGGTGGGGGGGGTGAGGGGGGAGAGAGAGGGAGACAGAGACAAGAGTCATCTCTGCCATTGCTCTGAGCTCAGAGGACGCCCCAGCCCCCCAAACAAGGAGGAGGGCCTCTGACTCTTGGGGATAAATCTTTTTAATTAAAGAGAGGAGCGAGATGTTGGCAAGGGGAAAGTAGGAGTGTCTGGAAAACTGATGGAGGGAGGGGAAGGAAGGAGGTCTGCAATTTTCTCACTGCCCTCCCCCCCCCCAGCCTGTCTGTCTGAATCTCTCTCTCACAGACAGACAGACAGACAGACACACTCGCACCCCAGTCTCCCACCTCTTTCTCTCTGACTTCCGGCCTCCTCTGCGGAGCTGAGCTGCCTTGTGTCCCAGGGGAGGGAGCAGGTAGGGTCCAGGTCTGGATCCTGGCAGACGGGGGCGGGAGGGGGTCATGCTCACTGACCCTGGTGTGGCCGCTTCTCTGTGTTTGGACACAGAGGTGTTTGGACCCCTGGGTACAGGTATGGGGAGTGTGTGTGGCTCAGCATGGACACAGACCCCCCCAGGTGAGCCCTGAGCACAGGAGGTGGTCTCACCCTCTAGCCCTGATCCATCAAGTCCTCTATGAGTAGCCCTGGGGGACCTCCAGGTCCTTGCAATGCAGATTACCCCACTTGGCTGACAACCTCTCCATGGCCGCTCGGGAGGACCTTCTCCCTCAGCTCTGTCCTCTCTGGGGCTTTGCCCACCAGGCGGCTGTGATTTCCCAGGAACCTGGGGGCATCCCCCACGGTCCGCTCTAAATGGATGGAGTGAGCAAGGAGCTGCTCAGGGGTCCCCTGTCTTCTGTCATGGTCCTACAAGCTCTCTGTCTCAGTTTCCCCTCTGTCAACAGCGCGGGGTTTGTCTTTCCATCTCTCTCTCTCCTTCCTCATCCTAGCCTCTCTGCAAGGATCTGTATCTTTGCTCAGGGGTAGGGATGAAGGGATCCTAAAAGAGGGTCCTCTGTGTCTCTTTCTGTCTTGGGTATGTGTCCATCGGTCTATCTCACCTGTCTCTCCCTCCATCTTGTCATCTGTCTCTGTGTCTCCTTTTCTCTGGATGGTCTCTCTGTCTCCCCCTCCCCCTAGCTCATCTCTGTCTCTGGGGACTGCTGTCTCTCCGCCTTTGTGTCCCCCCCCTTTTCCTCTCCTTCTTCGCCCCCTGCCCTCCCCCCCTCTACCACCCCCCCACCCCGTGGCCCTGGGTTTCTGCCTTCTTGTATCTCTCCCTCATCCCCCACCCTCTGCCCAGGCCCTTCACAGATGCATCACCCCAATCCCCAGTGCCTCTCCTGTCTGGCTCCAGGAGAGGGAAACATTTATCTTGTTGAGGGGAGGAGCCCCCCGCCCCCACCCCTCTGCCCGCCTCCTGGGCCCATCCATCACCAGAGCCCAAGACCCAGGCAGCTCATTTGTCACTGCCGCCTGCTGCCCCACCAAGCAATCATACCATTAGCCATGGCTCAGCAGAGGCCACCAGGACTGGCCTGACCCAGGCGGGGGAGGGGCGCTGGCCAGGACTCCCACCCCCGACCCCACTCCTGTCTTCCTGTCCCTTCCCTCCTTTTTCTTCCAATCGGCTTTCTTCTGCCAGCCTCGCTCCCCGCCTTAGTGTCTGCTTTCTGGGTCTCATCTCTGCTCTTCTCTTCTCTCCCCTCCTTCTCCTCCTCCTCGCCCTCTTCCCCTCCCCCTCCCTCCTCGCCTTCTTCCCCCTCCTCCTCTCCCTCTCAGTCCCTCTGGTCTCTCTCTCTCTCTCTCTCTCGCTCACC